GCACCCACGTTGTTTTGTTGTAATCTGAGAGGGTGTTGCCAACTCCATAGTCGACTTGGCGTGAAATTCGTCAGAGGTCTTATAGATCAACTCTGGCCTGTTTGCGGTTTGAGTCCAGAGTTGATCCTTTAGGCTTTAGAGATACTATGGGTCAACTATTGAGGTTTAATGGCCTAATTTTTGGAGGCCGTATTGAGATATCTTGTGTCAATCAGGTTTCCTGTGATACGGGATAAGTCTGAGAGTTCATTAAAAACCATTCTACCTTCTCAATTGATCTTAGAAATATTGTGTCTACTTAAGATACCTCCAATCCGATGATCTTGTAAGTCAACTAAGGCAGGCTTGTGGGTCAATTCCGAATTCCTTATGAGTTCAATCGATATGGATGATTTGCAGTAATTTTATAATCAATAATCTACTTCCAAGGATTTATGATTTATTTACAAGCACTTTACAGGGATCACCGAAAATCTGATTGGTCGAATCCGGAAGTCTTATGATTCAACTTATAGGGCAAATCCATAAATCTTAAGGAGCAATTCCATGTGCTGCAGAAGGGTAATTTCCGGGAACCTTACCAAATTATGCAATTTGTTTAAATAACAAGACTTATACATTTCTGCGCAGAATTAATCACCTACATTACCAAAACTTCAACAGCGCCGGTGGTGTAGTGGTAAGCGTGTCCAAGTATTGTTCATTGACATCATGCGCATAATTTACAATCCATTTTTACGTATATAAGATGTTCTAGATTCACCAAATCGTGCTGGACTTCAGATCGAATGATCTACTAGAACAATCACGACTTATATAAAATTAAGAGATGAACTAGCCTATGGCTAAAAATCTCTATAATAAAGAAAAAAAAAAAGACTTATATAATGATCTTAGACACGAAACATGTCCAAGCAGGTTCATAAAGTCTAAACCTACTTTTTTGCATTTTTTTAATTATTATGAACCGCAACTTTGCTTGAACCATGTAATTAATCAAGCAAGAAATGCATAACAACTTTGCCGAAGGATAAATGGGGCTAGAATGTATCTAAAACAGTTATAGCTATTCAAAGATCGATGTTACGAATTAAATGCTAAAAATCACTTTTCCTGCCAACACTGCCAGTGTACCAATGAAAGTCAGATTCCAAACGGCTTGGTTACACTGCTGTAATAAATAAATAAAAATTGTGTACATGTGATTTAGTCTATTCTGCCGTCTGACAATATTGAGAAATACACGCCAAAATCAAAATTGGTCAGAAAAAAAACCATTTTTTTGCCAAGGAATTTGAAAATCTTCATTACATTACTGATTCAAACGATAAATGCAACCCTATTTTAAATCCTCATGCAAAATATTGCCAGAAAACTCAAAGTAAAGTTTTTGCTGCAAAGTATTCTCAGCTTATCTGAGTGTATGCAATAAATTATTTTATTTGGATAGAATTGAGGAAACAAATGACCGCAAGAAGGGTGCCTGTGTAACTCTGCAAACAAACTAGAAATGTTAGAAGACCAGAATAAATTAGAAGACCAGAATGTTACATGTAATCTTTAAACGAAGGCAATATATCAAAATCAAATATCAATATGAAAATACTTAACCTTTTTCATGCTAAGAACAGACAAAAGCTTATCAGTCACGAAGATTCATTGAGAGTTTTATAGTGACTACACGCAAATCAAAAATCTATTACAATGAATGTTAGTTCCGTTTCCTATCATCCTCTGTTCATGAACATCGCAACGAATGTTAGAAATTGACCATGCAGGCGATGTAATGGTTTTTTGTCTTTTTTTATTTCGTGTTCCATCTACGCTTTCAACTATACCAGTAAGCTTGTAGAACGACGCACATTGTAGAACATTGTAGAACGACGTACACACTTAACTCGAATCTCTCCAGCAGAAAAAGCATACGAAGTCGAGCATGCGAGAAAATGAGCGCTTCATGTTTGCTTTTAGGCTGACCATATTCAGAAGCATGGAGAAAGCAGTGGAGAAAGCACAGGTCTGATAGTCGCAACGTCCGTGATTCGAGTCCAGTCGGCAACCTTTTTTCTATTTTTTTCGACATAATTAATTTCACTCACTAATACAACTCCACATTTTTCGGTCTCCAATTTTCTTACATCGGACCGCAGCTAGGTATATCGCATCCTCGGTTCATGCGGTCTCCACTTACATCCTCTGATGATGAATCCCACATAATTGTAAGCGAATCTTACATCCACCGGTTGGGTGTATAATAAAATGGAAAAAAGACCAAATCTTAACACCCATCGCTAAAACGTTAAACCTCCGGATTCGATAGCAAATATGCAGACTGCCAACATGAAAAGATTAGATTAGATTACTTTAGTATACAGCCATTTCATAGCAACACGATATAGAATTTCGTAGAAATTGATACTTTTGTTCCTTATCGCAAAATATTAGACCAATTTTGTTTTGTCATAAGGGTGACCACTCCTAAATATTTTTTTCAAATATGACTTTTTTCGAAAAATCAACCACTGGGCCGATTTCAAAGCTCAAAATATCAAATGAATGTGTGAGATTATGTCACTATGTTAGCTATGTATCAATGGAGACACATGATAGTCTAGTTACATAGGAGTATTGAGCAAAACCCCAAAACTTGATACTTTCAAAAGCATTTATTTATTTATTTATTTGTCGTCAATCAGTGTAGTTTAAAAATTGTTGTCTTAAGTGCTATTGTTACAATTTTGTCTTTGTTTGTATTTTTTATAATATTTCTTGAGAACAAGTTAAAAAAAATACTTCTAGCTGACGTTATGCGAGGAATTGAAATATTGCTTTAATTTGGTTTTTGTCATTTGTCAATGCTTTCGCAGTGCTTATTATATGTGTCCATTATTTGGTTCAAGGGTCAACATTTGGCTTAATTCGTACGATGACGATTTATAAAAATAAATTTCTATTTCGTAAATGCCTAAATGGTGTATATAAATTTAAGGATGACAATAGATCTATTGAATCAATGAGATGTGATACGATATCGCTTACGAATGAAATCATAGCAAATTCACGGCGCTCTTTTAATGTTTGGATTGTTATGAGCATGCACCGAGCTGTGTAAGATGGCAGAGGAAATACAGTCCAACCTAACTTGCGGAGTGCATACAATAGAAACTGCTTTTGAACGGACTCTATTCTTTCTTCGTGTGTGATTGAAAAAGGAGACCAAACTATGCTGCAATATTCTAATATCAACCTTACATAAGCAATGTACAATGTTATAACAAAAATGTTTTATGAAACCAAGCCTGTTGTTAGCTCTGTTAATAATTGTGTTATAATGATCGGTGAAATTAAGTTTTGAGTCCAAAATAACACCTAGATCCCTGACTCTATCACACTTTTCTACGATCTGGTTTCCTAAAGTGATTGTTATATCGGGTAGGATTCGTTTTCTACTAATGGTAATTGAGTTACATTTTTTATATTGAATTGTAGCAGGCTTTTATGACACCAAGTATGGAATATCTGTACTTCCTCTTTGAATGTGATGATGTCTTTGGCATCTTTTATTTCAAAAAAAAATTTAATGTCGTCAGCATAGATTAAAACTTTCAATTTCTTAATAATGAAGGATATGTCATTGACGAAGAGAATAAATAAAAGCGAACCTAAATACAAAATCCCACCTTTTTATATCATTATATTTTTCCTAAAAAGTATTTTTAATTACCTTTCATTTGATATTTTGATCTTTGAAATCGGCCCAGTGCTTCGAAATTTTTAGCCAGGAATTTTTGGCAAAAGTCATTTTTGAACCAAATCGAAAAAAAAATCGATGTTTTGGACCACCCTTACATGTAAACGATCACCCTAATGACAGAATAAAAAAATACGGTTATAATATTTTGCGATAAGGAACAAAACTACCAATTTTTACGAAACTATGAGATCCACTTTATATCGTTTTGCTATAAGATGGCTTAATAGAGATTTTCAGTTTCGGGCTGATTCGCATGTCGTTACTCAAAAGATAGTTTTCCGGATTTGCAAATTTTTAACTCGCTGGTTTAACCTTAGTTTATATTATATTATATTTATGCATTTGTAGTTTCCTCGAGAAATTTAATTCAGTAATAATTGTGATATTTTTTAAATTATAAACGATAAATTAATAAATAACTCGTTTTTAAATCTAATTTGGCCATTTAGTAGTGCGTTGGGCATAGAATGACAGTTATTTCAATGTTAAATTCGGTGGGTTTAAAATATAAATCTAACTAAATTTGTTTTTAATCATGATACAATGGCAACTTTACTGTACATGAATCGATGTATGTATTTCCTCCTCGATTTCCTGCGTGTTTCAAATTAAAACTGAATTTCATTGACTCTTATAAAAATATAATTAATAGTTGATTAGATTAGCTATACAAGTTCATATTTCGGGACAGACCAAATGTTGTTGACGATTATAAAGAAAATCAAGGAGGAATAAAGATTTTTTATTTAATAAGTCGTAGGTCCTGACACAACTGAATATTAGTGTAAGCTTCAAATTTTGTCAAAGACCTGATTTTCACGATAATTTAAAGTGTTCGGTATTTGAGTCATTAGTGATGATTGAACAAATTAAAGCCAATAACGTAATAAACGTATGCACCTGACATAGGGAATCCAGAATCCTTCATTTCTCCCACGGTCTAGATTCTGGATGTCAAACAGCCGTACAAAAACAAATCGATACATCCATTCAAGTGGATCGCAAAAGGACCTACGAACACTACCTGCCATATATGCGCATTAGTATGTGGATGAATGGGTAAACGATTTTGACAGATGAAAGCACTCTTCTTGTATACAACACCCACACACTGTGTGTATATACGCCACAACCGCGTTTTCAGTTGTATTTGTTTCAATGAATGAATCTCGCTGGTGGTTCACTGCAAGTACTGTTGTCTACGGTTTTATTCGCCATTCGAGTCCGACCGTGAAGCAAACGTCAGTCATTGATTGAGTGTTGAACCCAAAACTGGCTGATATAGAGTGTCAACATAGTATACCGAACAGCCAACTAAATCTTTTATATCGCGATGAGGTTGTCGGCTGCCGTTCAATCAACAGAACTGAACTGAAATAGTAATTTCGAAGCGAGGTAGACCTAATTTGTTAGTGAAGAATAGTGATTTTTGAATGACCGATTCAAAGCTATGTCAAATTATACCTAGCATCGATGAGGCATTTAACCTCTGCCTCGTCTCCGGTTTGGGCAGTTGTGCTCTATTACGGCAGTGAGAAGTTCATTGAATTTTTGGAACTGTGGAATTTTTTTCGAGCGTATCAAAATCACTCAGATATTCCTGGTATTACCATCATCAGCAAGCAGTCGTAATGTCAAGCAATCGAGAAGAATGGAAATGGGTTATGGAGATGCATTATGAATCATTTAGCAGGTCGACGTTGCTGCTTAAGTGCGATATTCTGTTCAATCAGGCGCAGCTCTGAAGAACCAAGACTACGACGCCACACTATACAGCTGTTCTTTGCGACGCTACTGTGTCGAGTGCGGACTGTTCACTAGTGGTAAAGAGCAGAGTCACAGAAAATCTCGATTAACTGAGGGAAGAAAACAATTTGCTGTGAGAAATCATCATCTTGGTAAAATTGTCTCAATTGTACTGGATTGAAAGAAATACGCAAATCGAGATTCGTTGATCGCACAAAGATTCTGATTCACTGTGATTTCACATCGTACTAGATATTATTAAGGAATTCAGTCGAAAACAAGTTCATCACGATGATGTTGAGAACCAATCTGCAAGATCGAAAGTCGAACACAAGTAAGGCAGCTACGTTCTCGACCGTTTCGTTCTTGTGTTCCCAAAATAAATCTGGAATGTGGACTGAAGGCCTTTGAACTGATCGAAAATCTGTGTTTCATCTTCTTCCGTAGATCGGAACGAACCCGGACGGTTCTTCGGCGATGGAGTGAGCTTCAAGGCCAAACTGATTGGCATCCTGGAGGTCGGAGAGGCCAGAGGAGATCGTATGTGCCAGGAAGCACTGCAAGTAAGTCTATTTTTAGTTCTCTCTTTTTTAGTAGTGCGCTACTATGCATACAGACACTGGCTACGCGGATAATCAAGCGGACAGCGCGAGCAAATGAAATTGATCCAATTTAAATCTAAAGCAGTAACAACAACGACGCTAGTACTGAGATGTCGAGAAAGAGCGCGCACAATAACAACAACAATAGTAAATAAAACACGCTTAATGCACTCACAACTGCAAGCAGCCAGTAGCTAAAATACTGTGTAGTGAACATGGTCGGATCAATGGTCGAAAAACGAGGATGCAAAAGGTGCATTAGCACTTTGAGCTCTGCTGGCGCCCACCATGCGGATCGATCACATTTTACTGAAGACTGATTTAAATACATTCATCATACGGCGGTGTAAACAATTTCATTAAACACTCACCACACTACTGGAGTTAGGGATTTGAACCAGTTCAGATGTAGCCAAAGAGAAAATGCATGTAGGTAGTGGGCTGTAGTGAATTTAAATAACTGTAGACTGACGCAAAATGTCAATCCTAATTAGGAAAATGACAGCATGGACATCATTTGTACTAATTGATGATTAATCTTTTTAGGATCTCAAAATGGCCATCCGAGCTGCCGGAGAGCACAAGCAGAGAATCACGATACACGTTACTATCGATGGATTGCGATTGAGAGACGAGAAAACAGGGGTAAGTTTTAGCAAGCTGAATATCTTTGGTAATGAACACATGATCTAGGGTAAAAACTGTCAAAAATACCCACATGTTCTATTTTGCGTGAGACGAAACCGATTTCATTTATCGATAAGATTGACTATAAATGAAGCAGTTTCCTTAGCACATGCTAGCATTAATTAATCTGATTTACATAAATACAGGGCTGGTAGCGATCACTACTGTCAAAAATAGTGATTTTAGTGACCATGTTGAAGAAATAAGTGACCAAATAGAGACTTATAGTTGTAAAATAGTGACTAAAAAGTGTCCTAAGAGGAAAAAAGTAGTCGTTGTGATGACACACCAAATAAACGTTTAATATTTTGGACGTATCAATTAGTATCTCATAAATACTTATGTACAATATGAAGCTTTAAAGCAAAATATTCAATCGAAAATGTATGTCCAAACCCACGGTATCAGTCTACTAACTGCAAAAGGCTGGAAAACCGAGAATACACATGAAATTTTATTTTTCCTCAAAATACTTGGAAGTCTCAAAGAATTTAATAATTTTCTTACAAAGGATATTTTAAAAATAAAAATGAATTTTAAAATACAAGCATTTAATTTTTCTCGTTATTTTAATTCACACTTTGAACTTTATAGATCCACAGTGAATTAATCTTCGGTAACAAATAAATAAAAAAAAAAAACAGGCTCCAAATGTTTTTTTTTTCGTTTTGGAATATGCAATCCAAGAAATTTTAAATTTGAACTAGCTCTGGACTTTAAAGGCTCGTGAAATTTTATTATAAATTCTAAGAACCTCATTCCAATGGAGTTCTTCGGACAAAAAAATCTTTCAGAAAAACATCAAATGCAATATGCATTCAAAGTAGTTCTGATAAACTTTAAATTTCATGTGAAGTTTTGAGTATAATTTCCAGAAATCCTGATTGAATTAAAAGTTAATTTAAATGAAAATAAGCCCTTAGATTTTTTCAAATACTAAAAGGAGGATTACAATTAAATCTGAGAATAACTCCAGGACATTCTCAAAGGAATTCGGAAAATAAATTCAGGAGAGTTTGCCGAGAAGAAATCAAAGAAATTTGTTTGGAGAAATGCCAATGAATTCTTAGGACACTTTCAGTGTGAGTAGAATTCCAAGGGAAGAAGTGAGATTCAAAAGGAAATCTGAAATGAATTCAATTAATATTCTGAGAATCTTTCCAAAGAGTTTCTTTTTGTGAAGAATTTCAAGGTAATTCGGACGAAAATTAAAAGAAAATTGAATTCTGAGGATAGCTGAAGATTTCAGGAATATTTCAATGGAAATCTCCATTGAATATGGAATGAACAATTCTGAGATCTTCAGAACTATTTGAAAGTTTCCAATTGTTTCCTGAAGTTAATGAAACTGCCTTGAAATGCTTTTGTAGTTTGAAAACTAGCCAGATACTCACAATACTTCTCATCAAATTCTTAAACTTCCCTAAACTTTATAGGATTTCCTAAAGTTTACTCAATTTTTCTAACGATCATGGATCTCCTTCAAAGGTTTAACAATTCGTTGAAGTTCTCTAAACTTCTTTAACATTGATGTGAACTGCTCTGAGGTTCTCTGTTCTTCTATGGAATTCTCAAAACTTCTCTAAAGTTTTTGCAGTTCTCATGAAGCATGTTACTTTGCGCTGAATTTAATTGAATCGTCCTAAAAATGTTAAAGCTTTAGTGAAATTCTGAACTTATGCGAAGACCTCAATTAAATAAATTTTCAACGTCTCTGAAGTTATCTGATAATATGGGAACTGCTTCAAATTTCCCACTTATTTTCTGAAACTAATGGAACTGACCTCCCCCTTAAAATTTTCGGAGCTAACTAAACTTTTTTCAAATGCTCCCGCATTTTGTTAATGTTTATAAAAAAATCCTGAAGTTCGCAGATCTCCCTTTAAGCTCCATAGATTGTTATGAAGTTCTCATAATGTTTCTGAAGACCACTGTCCTGCAGGGAAGTTTTCTGAGTTTTTCTAAAATTCTGGAGCTTTTGTGCTCCCGCAATTTTCATGGAATTAGAACGAAATAATTAATATAGTTCTATGATTTTCACTGAAGTCCTCAAGATTTTTCTAAAGTTCATGAAACTTCCCTTAAACTATAGACACTAATTTAAAACTTCTTCAATAGTGTAGACTTTCCTGGTGTTAATAAAACTGCCTAAACGATTACTGAATTTCTTTAAGTTTCTCTAGACTGCCCTGAATTTAACAGTATTTTTAAGAACCCGCAGCTTTACTGAAATAAATTGATTTGTCTTGAAGTTTCAACAATTTTTCTTAAGTACTAATTTTCCCTGAACTTATCTATGCTTACCTGAAGTTCTCCAAATTCGTTTAAAAATCTGGCAAATTTTCTGGTATACATTCATAATTCCCTGACGCTTCTGACGTTTTTGGATCAATCATAGAATTCATGGAATACCCCATAATTCCAAGGAACTCCTTGTAAGTCGCTGCAAATTTGCTTATGTTAATGAGATTATCCTGAAGCTATCTAATCGTCTTCGATGTACTCGGAACTTAGTTGAATATCATGAAACTATCTACAAATATCTAAATTTATTAGAAGTTCTCTGGAATTTTTTGAAAATATCGCTGCTTGCTAAAAGTTCTCGCATTTTTTTAATTAATGGAACTTTGTTGATGTTGTCTAATAAACTTAGCTAAATTTTCACATTTTTTAAGTTCTTAAAATCTCCATGGTATTATCTTAAAATACTCACACGTTTTCCGGATGTTCATATAATTTTTATCACGTTCCAGAAATTATCTCGGAGCATTGATGAAGTTTCCTGCCCTTTGATTCTATGATCTGTTTAATGTTCTCTAAGCTTCTCTAATGTTCTCAATTCTATTGAAGATCTCGGTTCTGCTCGGAAATAAATAGAACTCCCGTAAACACCTTTAAATCTGGACTTCTGTGTAGTTCCTGAAATATTTCTGAAGTTTCAATAAATTCTCTGAAAGTCTCTGTACTTTCCTGAAATTCTCGGAACATCTTAGGGGTTCTCGGTTTTTTTTCAGCACATCATGGAACTATCCTGAATTTTTCTAAATTTACTATTATAGACCTTAAACTGCTTCAAAAGTCTAAACTAATGTTACGGGAACTGCTCTTAAGATCTGAAATTCCCCAAAGAACTCTAGATTTAGCTTCTCTGAGGTGTTTAGAACTTCTTATAAATTACAGAATACTCCACAAGTTTTCTATATTTCTTAAGTTCACTTGACACCTGTGAAGTTTTCTGAAATTCTAGGAACTTCATAAAAGTTTATGGAAATTTCCGGATGCAAAAAGAACCGCTTTAAGGTTCTTAAAGCATCAAGAAAGTTTATATTTTTAGCGTGTTAAATTCAACATTCAATGGATTTGATTGTAAAACTGTTTTTTTTTTTAACTGATTGCCATGTCTTAAAAACGTTTAGACTATTTTCTGTTGTTTTTATCTAGCAAAATAAAAGCATTTAAAACCTGGAAACCCAGTTAATTTTATTTAGAAAAATGAGTAGACACCCTGTAGATAGAGAAATGCGACTAACGTCACATAGAATGATAAGTCTTGCAATAAATTCACGCTTAAAAAGTTGAAATTAGTGACTGATTACAAGAAAAAGTGAGTTTTTCTTTAAAAAAAAAGGAGACTTTTTAGTGACTGGCTTGAAAAAAGTCACCAAGTCACTAAAAAGTGACTCGCTACCAGCGAAAAAAGGAAATCGGGAGAAAACGAGTTAAAACCCCAAGATTTCCATAAAAATACGCAGTCTGAACGCTACTCATATGCCTTCTTGAGATTTAATTTTCTTGGAAGAATCACATTATCAAAAAACATTCTCGCTTGGTGAGATGAAACTGCTATAAGTTTCCAGCGACTGAATATGAAATGCTTATCCCCGGAAGTCCTTCCACGGGGATAGGATACCTTGAGCCAAACGACTACTGTCTCTGAAAATTATAACCGTTACAGAAACCAACAACGGAAACTACGAACTGACTTAACGGCAATGAATTTTAGCGCAAAACAACGTAATCCTGGGACTAAGTGAAATCCGTTGGTCGAACCTTGGAGAACACAAACTGCCCTCGGGACAGGTACTGTTTAACTCTGGTATTCGAGGTGAAAACGTTCCCCGTCGCCGTATTCAGAACACGGATTCAAAACTTACCATAGTCCAATGTTATGTCATGATCCAACCGCTGCTGAAGTACAGAACAATGAGAATTATTACTGTCAACTGAATATCATCGTGGAGAAGGTACCAAAGAGTGACATCAAAATCTACACTGGCGACTTCAATTCGCCAGCCGAGGTCAGAGGGATTTTTCTGAGGCATAAAAATCTCTGGTCACGTCTTCTTTCGGAAGGGAAGTAAAGCCGTTGGCCCCGGCCCATGTGTGTTTGAATGGGTGCGATATCCTACGCAGGTGTGGAAGCTGCCTTCCTGCACATTCGATTGCCGTCAATGGATGGTAATCGATGTCCGTCGGTGATTGGCACTAAATTGCGGAACAGATGACCGACGTTAAATAAAGGAATGAAGACTTCAATTCGAAGATCGGTTCCGCCAAAACGAACTGAGCGTGTCTTGAGACACACCATGATCTCGGAGAAATGAGCGAGAAAAGCGAGCTATTTGCAGAGTTTTATGACAATAACGACATGGTGATCGGAGGCTCACTCTTCCCCCATCGACCGGTGCACATAGTCACGTCAAATCGGTCACATCTGCCTCACACAAAAATCGATACGGAGCCTTCTCGATGTCCGGAATAAACGCAGAGCTGCAATCGCGTCTGACCATTACCTTCTAATCGGTAAGATTCGCCTACTCATTGCGAGGATACAGCGGCGGGAGGAGAAACTCTGGCGGCGATTCAACGCCGACTAGAAGGTTCAGCAGTGATAACCTCATTCGTTGAAGAATTTGAGACCAGCGGATGTTCCAGAAGATGGCAGCGTTGAAAAGCAATGGGATACTTGCCGGAAGATAGATGAGCGTAGAGAAGCAAAAAACCACGATACAGCGGGCTAGAACCAGTCTGGTGGGAGCAGGGGCCACATTGCGCATCTCGAAACGAAAAACTTTTTCATACAAGCGTTCGTACACAAATTCTTTCGTTTCGAGATTTGCAATGTGACCCCAGGCCTCCCCGGCCTTATTGACACCAATGGAAATACTCCTCGGAATTATCATGAAAATCTTCTTAGAACTAGAACTCCCTTAGAATTCTTTTCGGAATGTCTTAAAACTTCCTATGAATACCTTCGGAATACGCCTTATAGCGTCTTCGAAATAATCGTTAGATTTACTTGGAATGATCATCTGAATTTTCATGGATTCTGCTCAAAACTACCATGGCATTATACTTGGAATCCACTTGAATTTTTTTCTCTAAAATTCCCTAGGAATTCTCCTCAGAATCATCTTTGAACTCATCATCATAGCTCGTATGCAATTCTTACCAGAACTCCCACGAAATGCTCCTCAGCATTCACATGCAATTTTCCATTACATAAACCTAGATTTTTTCTCAGAAGTCACTTGGAATTATCTTTAATATTCCCTATATATTCTTCCAAAATTCCCATGAAATTATGTATCAAATTGCCCTTGAATTCTCTTGGTTTTCCCGGTTCAATCTTAAAAATTACCCGGTTGTTAATATTCAACAAAAACGAAATTGAACGCATTTTTAAAAAGACGGCCAACTGTAAATTTTCGGAAGTTATTTTGAAAAAAATAATTATATAGGTATATGGGTCTTGGAGTCATAATTGTCAAGCCTCTGAGACTTGGAAGCATTTTAAGGGTTATAACAAATTGCAGAACAATCCATAGAATCTTGCGGACAAACCCTGGAATTTTGAGTAAAAATCCAACGTGATTTTCGAAGGAGAAGTTCTGAGCAGAAATCCAGAATTATTCTAACATGAAGTTCTTAGAAATTGTTAAATGAATTTGGAGGGATTTCTGTGGAGAAGAATGCAAGTTCTAAATTAAATTCTGAGGTTACTTTAGAAGAATTCAAAAGGGAAAATAATTATGTTGAAAATTCAACACGAAACAGAGTTCTAAGAGGGGATAATTTCAACCCTAGTGCGAAAGATTCATCACAGAGCTCCAACAAAATTGATAGCAAAAAAAAATGCTGATAGTTAGTAAGAAATGCTTTAAAGTACTACAAGGGATTTCTGCTGTTTTGAATAGAGTTAAAAGAAAATTATGAAAATAATTTCAAATGAATCAAAATCTCCGAATAGGTTCAAGGGAATTATGAGAAGGATTCCAATCGAATTCTTAGAATGGTTTTGTTTTTAAGGCCCATGCACTGTACATCTGAAATTGAAACGACAAAAATCAATTTGAAATATTGCTGAGTGATTAAATTGTAAAAACAATAAGACTGGAAAGTTATAGAGCAAATAGAGCAAGACATTCATTTAGTAAAGAATCACTCTGTTTTAATGGTTTATTCTGAAAATCTGGTGTAAACATCATAGAAATAAATGGTAAATTAATTTTTCTCAATTCTCTCGTTGAATTCGCGGTTTTTCCCTGGTTTCCTGGTTACTTTTAAAATTCCCGGATATTTCCCGGTTCGCAGGCCACCCTGGGTTTGCCATACAATTTCTATGAAATTATCATTGAAAATTCTTTTGAAATTTCTCCAAAATCTCCTATTAACTCTCTTCAGGATTCTTATGATATTCTACTCAAAACTCCTTTGAAAACATCGCGATCAATCATATAAATTCGAGATTTTGTTTTTGTTTTTTTTTCAAGCGTCCTGGAGAAAACCTTACCTTAATTCAAAGTGTTTCTGGTTAATTGACAAGGTATTCAGTCATTGTGAGAATTTTTATGTACCACTTCAATACTGTTACGCATTTGACCACAAACTTTTGGTTGCTGGGTACATTTATCAATGAGCTTTGGGGTGATGTGGCTGTCAGCAAGGCGAGCGAACGTTTAATGAAAATTAACTCTTAAGCAACAATAATGTATAGTGGTTCTGAAAAGAACCGTTTTGTTGTGATGGTTATGTAAAGCTGAGCTATTAGGGTGATCAACACGGCTGAGGCTGGCAAGCTGTATGTTGTTTGGAACGAGGGACTTGGCATAGATGGCCCACAGCGGCTCACGACGAGCAACTGAAACCGATCAGTAGCGGTGGGACTTCTTCCTTCTTCTTCGGTGAATCGAGGTCAATCTTGAGGGCAGCGTTGATAGCTAGCTGCTTGTGGAGAGCCTTTCGAATGAGATAAAAATGTACAACGCCACGCACTAATGTAAGCGGCGCCGGTGGTGTAGTGGTAAGCGTGACTGAATCTCATTCCAAAGGGCCTGGGTTCAGTTGGCGCCGTGGGGATTTTCTGAAGCATAAAATAAATGATCGTCTTCCTTCGGAATGGAAGTGAAGCCGTTGGTCCCGGGTCTATGAGTTGATTGGTCGATAGGTATACCTATAGGGTCCAGGTGTGGGAGCTGCCTCCCTGGCGTCGGTAGTATTGGTACTCAGAACGGAAAACAAGATCGACGGAAAAAAAAAATAAAAAAAACTAGACCATAACCCATAGAGAAATCTTTAAAATTTCTTTACATAAATCTAGACTCAGAAGTTCAGGAGGCGTCCACAAAACTCCAGAGACCATATAAAGTTTATAACAAAAGCCTCACAAGTTACGTTTAGAGGCCTAACTGTTAACTCCATTGAGTTGATAAGTAAATTTCAGAGTTTCTTCGATTTTATATAGGATCCCTTTAGTTTGGTTTAGAGATCTTCTAGGTCATCAAAAGGAGCCTTACGAATTTGAACTTCTAGAGGTCTCCAAAATTACAAAAGCCTCCAACAAACCAAAATCAAATTTTTCCTTATTTTTTATAATATCTTCTGTGATTTTATCTCATTTGAATATATATTAGTATCCCTGTCTTATGGTTCAATTGGTCATGTCACGTAGTGTTTGCTAAGATTGTTGGATTTCCAAATTTTGTCGAGTCGGTAGACAAGCAGTTTCAGCAAGTTAAAACTGATTAATTTCATCTAACATATGTATTAGACTGATGCAAAATTTGTAATTTTCGCTCCACAGTGTTCAAACGGTTCCAATTTGGTTGCAGATTACCCTTCCAAAATTTGAAGTAATTTTGTAAGAAACCGACTTGGCACAAACCATTTGAAGTTGATATGGAAATTACTATGGGAAAATTAAATGTTGCATTCATATCTATCTATCTAATAATTAACCCTTTTACTCTGCTGTAAAAATTGATAGCTGTAGCTGTAGTAAATTGTTACAGCTACAACTTTGTTGAAGATCATCTTTCGATAAAATGTAAAGATCAAAAGTTATTAATGATTCAAGTCACTATTGTCTTATGATTATGCTCAATAAACTGCTCAGCAGGCAACATTAGTGTTTCTGGTGCGTAGAATAGACTACTAAAATCATGGCTACTATGTCACACTGCAGAATACAGTGTTGCCCACAAAACAGTTGCTTGATCATGCCATAAGATTATCAATCTCTTAAACAATTAATAACTATTTCTAATGTTTGGCTGAAAATCAATATTCGGCAAAGTTGTAGCTGAGAAATTTTTCCATAAGAATAGCTATAGAAATTTTTAACAGTGCAATATGTAAGAAAGATAGAAGACTACGAAGAAAAAGTTTGATTTCAGTCGAATTTTCAATTTCACTACTGAACAAGTACTGACCTCTGTTAAAAAATAATAATCTGGATTTTACGAAGCAATGACAAACACAGGTAGCGAGTTCATGATCAATGTGGTGTTCGAAGGGTTAAAGATTAAGCACAGAATCCTTATTGATCCTCTTCAGAGGTCTTGAGAATCAAGCCAAGGGGATTTAAGTTTGATGACTCCAAGATTTACTGGTTGATTCTAATAGCTTATGAAACAAAATCCTTAAGTTCGGGACAGGCTTGCGGAGTTAGGCCGGAGTGGGAGGCATTCCCGATATCATCAAAAATACTGATTTTGACATTAGATGCTTTAAAAATGCTTCCGATTCCGACCCGAATCCGCTGGCCTGATATCTCGAATAATTTTCAATATCCCAGAATTCCAAAAATTCCACAATCATCCAATTCGAAAGTTTTATCAAGCTTGCTAAATGCTTCCAATTTATTCGTTTTTTTTTACAAATGAAGTAACAATGTTAACCAATTTTCCTCTTCCCCAGGACTCTCTCTATCACCATCCAGTGCATAAGATATCGTTTATCGCGCAGGACATGACGGATTCGCGTGCATTTGGCTATATTTTTGGATCGCCCGACAGTGGGCATCGCTTTTTCGGCATCAAAACCGACAAAGCCGCCAGTCAGGTAGTGCTGGCCATGCGAGACCTGTTCCAGGTCGTGTTCGAGTTGAAGAAGAAGGAAATCGAACTGGCACGGCAACACATCCAAAGCAAAATAACTGCCCACGAGCATCACGCCGTTGCAATGGCCGTCAAGAGTTCCGATGGGTATGGTAAGACTTTACCAAGCGATGGAGCTTCCAGTTCGTTGACCAGTTCTAGTCTAGGTGGTGGTGCTAGTGGTACCAACAGCTTGAAAACAACGACTAAGAACGAAAAGTCCCCGGAATCCGTAGCCGACCTGGTGGATTTGGAACAGGAACTCAGCTCGATTCAACGTGGCATCACGCAAATGGAGCGGATAACACCGAGCGAAGTCCCCTCGAAAAGTGTCATCGATGACGATCCATTTGGAGATTCATTCACAAACATTCCACCGGTATAAGCTTTTGCTGTTTTTGGGCTTTAGTTATCGATATTAAATGAGCATTTCTGTCCAACAGGCGTACAATCTACTACCCCCTCCTGAATCCAGCAAACGCCATCAAAAGCAAACCCATAGATCAACGGAAAATCTTCCTGCAACCGAGACCAGTTCGGCCGTACCATCGTCATCACCACCCGCACCCCCGACGTCTTCGACTCCGGCACCCCAAAATGTAACGTTACCACCTCCACCCAGCAGTTCTACCCCGGGGCCAGTTAGCTCAGCGATATCATCTAGCAACTCGAATCAAAATGATGATTGGCTCAACTCACCACCCAACACTTCACGATTCGATCCGGATCCGGTAAAATACTCAGACGAGTTCCTCAACGAAGATGGATTCAAGGTAAATATCGGACATCAGCGTCTATTTTTTATCTTTTATTATCGTGATTTTTAGCCGTTCATTATACTTAAATCTGTTTCATTTGAGCAGCCGTATTCAACCACACCACAGCCATCCTCCTACACGGACGCATTCACCGACCTGGATCCGCTAGGAACGGGAAAGATCAAACCGTACATTGATAAGAAATATTTCTTCCAAGAGTTGAAGAATCCACCCAAGAAGGTGCTAAAGGACCTCTCGGGAAAGGACAGCTCGTTCAATGCCAACTTTTCCTCAGAAGACCAACGCCAGTCACCACAAACACTTCCAAACAGCACAAACGCTGCCGCTGCCGAAATGTTCAAGCCCACATTCGATGACGGTGCACCTGGAGTGAATGAACAAGCTAACGCGGAATTTTCGGATCCCTTCGATAACAAATCCGTAGATCCTTTCATGGAAGACGATGACTTCTCCAAACTTCACATCGATCCATTTGAAATGAAGTTCTCGAGAAATGCATCCCCTAGGCAAATCGAAAGGAAAAGTGGCGACGAGAGCTCGGTTCGACCTGCAGCTAAATCCGACGAGAGTAAATCTGACGAAAGCCCAGTAGCATACAATGGACCTCTTCAAGTCAACCTTCCTCCGGAGAGCTGGGCAAACTACATAAGCCAGAAGCGTTTGGAACGGCAAAATTCTGATTCAATTTCGTCCGGACCGGGAGTTATCAGCGTAGCACGAAATCGTCCAAATGTGTTCAAACAGAACACCGTAGATGTTATTTCCAGCATCAGCAGTAACTCGAAAAAGATGAAGCCAAATCTTTTCGGGCAGAAGTTCTCCAAAAGAGATTCGAATAGCATAAACATGCGCCGCCTGCAGGAAAGTGATTCCCTTAGCGAGAACGAAACGGCTCCAGAACCTCCTCCTCGCCCGGACTCCGGATCACACATTGAACCACCTCCGCTGCCTCCAAAGAAACAGTTTGCTGATATTGTGATAAGACCCTCCCCTCGATCCGGTCCGACAGCGACGTCGACTTCCGGAGGATCGACCAAGGAACGTTACGATTACGTCGCATCTAAATTCGAGTCAAAGAATCAATCTGTCAACGATGCACCCCCCTTGCCATTGCCCTCACGGAAAGTCAACCGCAGTGATGGTTCTTCCCCAGGACGCCCGTTCAAGAAGCTAACCGACGAAGACGATTATCTGCAACCAATACCGGCAAAATCCGAAATTCCGACTTTGCTACCTCCACCACAACGCAAGGATGCTTCAAAAACACGCGCTGCCCGCAAATCGGAAACCGATCCACGCAATTTAGACGAGCCAACCCCTCCGGCTCAATCGAAATCACCCACTGTGAGGGACAAAGAATCATTCTTGCCTAACATCACACTCAGTCAATTATTAACGCTAGGTATTGATGAACTAGCCACCAAGCTGAACGTTCCAGTTAGCAAGCTAAGCACAATGACTCTAGTGGAACTAACTTCCTATCTCTCCGAATTCATTGAGAACAGTAAAACGTCATCTTCTTCGGCAACATCATGGAATCAGGAAGCGGAGAACAACGACTCGCCGGTATTCAAGGTTAATTTCGACGATAATAACGATGCCACGTTTGTAGCCAAGTTTGACGATAATTTTGGCGAGGACAATACTTTCGTAGCAAACTTTGACAATCTGAACCTTCAACCTGCGCAGTCAACGGCACACTCAGCTGCAGTACCTAACGCTCCATCTATAGACAAATACGCCGTTTTCCGGGAGATTATCGAGCAAGAGATTGGTCCAGCTCAGGAACCTCAGAAGACTGAACCGGAGAAAACGGGTCCGGATTTGTCTTCCCTTGACTTCGATAGGGAAGTAGCTTCCGAGATGAACCGACTGTCGCCGAACATAACGGGCGACCAATTCTCGAAGTCACCTTCACAATCGCAAAGTTTCCTCCCAGCAAACAGCCCCGTGCCACCAGTGCCGATGACGAAAATCGACACCAAGATTACTCAAGTTATTTCACAAGCCAAAGATCGCTACGCTGCTCTAAGAGATATCATTCTAGTTGAGGATTTGTTCGAGAAACCAACGCCTCCGCCACATCATAGTTCAAGTGCACCAATAGCCCGAATGGAATCATCCTCTTTTGAAGATCAGAACACGGAAGACGAGCATAGATTCGAAGCGAACTTTGATGATATGCCTCAGATCGAAAGCCATTCGCCAGAGATTAACATTTCAGACGCAGACATAAACGACGAGTATCCGCATCCAGCGGAACCGCTCGCTCCATCCTCGTTAGAAGGTCTTGAGCCACCGGAGTCTCATAATCTTAGCTTCCGTAGCACTCCCAAGGAAGACTTGGAAATAAACGCTTTCATGCACAAAGCCGTATCCAATTTGTCTCTTCACAGCGCAGGGCAGCTATCGCCAGCACCTGGTGGTTTAACGGTAAAATCTCCACAACTTCAAAACACATCAACCTCACCTAGTCGACCACCCATAGCAGCGGCCGGAATGGATGGCAGTTTACCGCCGCAAACCACATCGATCGAAAATCTAAGCAAAGCTACATTGAACGATATGAGCACTTCACCGATCCCCCTGTCCAAATCAACGATGATCAGAAAGGGTTCGACCGGGAAGTCATCGTCGTCACCAATGGTAAAGTCTCCCATGGATTACGCTGACGATACTACTGTTGCCGGTGAAGTAAATAAGCGTGCCGACTCCTTGCAGAAACCCTCATCCGGATCGCTTAGTGATGGCGAAGAAACCTCACCAGAAGCGGAACGAAATCATGGTAAATGTTGGTGGATTTTACATTTTGTTTGTCGTACTAAAAATTAATTATTCTACCTTTGTTTTACAGATCTCAAAGCTTCAAAACTAACTCCGACCAACGCCAACGAATCGTGGGCAGTATTCGATCAACCAGAACATCATCCGGCGCACAAGAAAGTGGAAGGTGGGCGTCTTCATAAGGGTACATTCTTCAATCTCCATTTTTAACTACGAAACGTCAAAACAATTTTGATTTTCCAACAGGAATGGACAAGCCCGGTCCTGAGTCACCCTGCTCTTCGGATCCCAAGGATGAATGGAAGAACGAACGTGAGTACGCTCGACGTTGGCCAACCAAAGGACATACTTCGTCATCATCGCGAGATGTCTCGCCTTGGGATGAAGATGGGCCTGAATACCGGAAACGTCCACCAAGTCAACATCATCCGCCGACTTCGGGCGAGCGGTACCATCATCCGAGGATGCCACCGCGGCGAATCAACTCCAACGACGAGGATTACGAGGATGATATGAAGGATCGTAGCGAACGACGGCGACGAACGAAGGGTCAGCAGATAAGCTCGAGAAGCCGGGATAACTTCGAAGATGAACATTGGTATCATGAGCATCAGAGTTGGTCACCGACGGAGGAAGACGAACGGCCGGATCGATCTAGGTCGTTCGATAGGAATGCCTATGAGAGGAGTACGTATGGCCCACCCTACGAGAAGCGAGAGCCGAAGAGTTTGCCACCGTACGATAGGAGGGATTATAAAAACTACGATAAGAGGAAGTATTACAGGGAGAGAGGTAGGCCGAACTACGATTATGACCACTACGGGGAAGGGTACGATCAGCGAATGATGAAGGGTAGAATGGATTACGAGGATGTTTACGAAAGAGGACCGAGAGATTCGAGGGCGGCTAGGGAATACTTCTATGAGAGGGATAGGAAAAGTTTTGATCGTGATAGTAATGAGTCTTATGAGAGGAGAAGTTTCGGAAGTGGAGATATCTATGGTAGTCTGGATAGCCGAGGAGACTATCGGGACAGGGACCGCTATCTGTCGCTGGATAAGTCACGTCCGTTGAGGCGTGGGATGAGGAATGCTGGTAGTGCAAGACTGGACGATCCGGATCAGGACTCGGAAGGTGAAACGGTAGGTGGAAGGCGTGCGGATACGAATAGTTTGCATCGTTCTAGTCAGAATATACGCGGTAAACAGCACCAGGTGGTTGACGATGAAGTCTGGGGTGTATCGATGGGTGGGAAACTGGCTTGGAAGAGGCCGTCGAGTGCATCCGAGCAAGAACGACGGTATAATGAAAGTAGAAGAATGATGACTAATACGACGTTGCCTGGATCCGATGGGGAGAAAGATCGTCGGTTCCGGAAAAAGAATAGAACTCGTTCAAAGGAACCGGACATCAGACCTGGATATGCTACGATGCGATATCCACCACGGTCCAAAGAAGATTACCTTGAATTCGAATTTGAACCAAGAGCACCCGGCAGCGGAGGTGGCATGTATGATAACGATGAGGAAGAGGAGATAGGAAGCGGTAAGATGATGGAGGAAAGCGTGGCTGAGAGTCCATCGTACTACGGAAGGCGACAACCACCACCTCCCTATTACAAACCGGCTACCCCGCGAATCGAAGGCCGAAGCCTCAATGACACTCTCATAGCACAAGAAGCCAAGAAGATGGCACGGTATGAATATGAGGAAGAGGCAATGCGAAGAATGAAGAAGAGCAACAGTAGAGATTTATACTTTGAGGGGGAAGACAAGGAACGTTTCGGCGGTAAATTCGGATCGGGTAATTTCGAAAATGTAACTCCACCGAAAAGTGCAAAGCACGTTAGAATGGAGCTCGAGTTTGAAGATTTCGGTGAAACACCGCAGACAACTACGAGTGGAAAGTTCAACTTTGAAGGTGGAGACGGATTCGAAAGTGACTTCAATTCTCCACCTGCTCCTCCTGCCGGTGTAGGGCAAGTTTCGCTCCACACTGCCAAGACATTCCGATTTTCCAACGATTTTTCGGAGAAGGATCCAGGTCGTCATTATCCGGCATATCACAAGGGTCAACCACAGAGCTTCGGAGGATTCGAGGCAGATTTTGGACCTAAGCCACGACCGGCTTCGACTTCCCAGACGGCGTCGAAGTTACGCTTCAATGAAAATGTAACCGTATCAAAGTTCAGCTCGGATGCGGCTACGGGATCACACATGTTTGAAGACGATTTCGCAGGTCGGTCCGACAATGAGTTGGAAGATCAGTGGACGCCCGAAATGCCAGCACCGGTAACTAATAACAACGGTAGTAAGAAAATTTTGAAAACATCTAGTCAACAGCAATCGCAACAGCACGACAACATCCACAAGTCGGACAGTGTGAACATTTTTGCCAAAAAGGTTGACGATCCGTTCGAGGATGATGACTTTTTCACATCAGGAGCGGCGGCAGAGAAGGATCCATTCGATGGTACAGGAAATGGCAGCGAAACCGGTGGCGGCCAGTCCGGGTGGGACAAAAATTTCGCAAACTTCGACGACAACATCTGATTACTCGGTAGCCTGATGATGAACAGTAGTAACGTACTCAGTCGTCAGCTCAACCACAGTCTCAGCGTCCGCCAGCAGTATCAGTACTGTTGCCAGAGCGAACATCAGCGATACTCGCTCGCGAAGGACATTAGGAAGCTTTACATGCGCATCAAGCATTTCAATAGGTACGAGGTATTCGTTTAGGATTAGTGTGTACATTTCGTTGGTCCCCTGCTGACAGTGAATATGAATAGTCGACTGAATTTTAAAATTCTGCTTTTAAACGATCTTTGTTTCGTTGTGCGAAGCAATCATGCTTGTTAGTGAATGTTTTTTTAGTTTGAATGGATTTCACAAGGTCACAATGCAATTACGACTTACCTTTCCATCACTTGGTGTTACGATGGGTAATATGATCTGAAGCGAGAAATTAAAACGTAGTTAAAACATGATGGCATTAATTGGGGCATCTTCATCGTTGAATAATCGAAATTGTAGAATTTCATGAAATCATTTTTATTTAAATTTTTAGTTTTTTTCATTTGATTTTAAGTGTATGGTTATTTTAACGATTTCATTGAAAATCCCTAAATGTCTACTATCTTTGCAAATTTAACAAATTATCTGCTATATTTGCAAAGATTGTGGCGGTTGTAGAATATTTAAAATGCCATACAAAATTAACAAAGAGCTGGTTGGTTTCAGAAGCTTAAAACGGCACTGTCGAGCCAGTCCTCCCTATTTTTCGAGTCACGTGACTCTCTCACCGGTGAGGTCGCCGTCAACATCAATATTGACTCGATTCAGTTGACAGCTATTGAAGATGAACATTCTAAAAAGTCCTATCTGCATCGATCGATTCTCTTCATCAAATTTCTCTTTCGTTAATACATTACTCAGCTGCAAAAACATTCCCTGTTGTGTTTGACGTTTTTGTCACTTTATCAAACTATGTGGCAAAAATAGTACGAAATCTGTTTGCAAAGCCGTGTTATCAAAAGAGAAAGTAGAAGAAGAGAATCGATTAAAGTAGATAGGACCTTTTTAAATGGTAATCTAGAATAATCTATGAATGGTTCATCGTGCGGATTCTTCTTTCAATTTCGTTTCCTTTTTGGAGAATTTGATTTAAGCGATTGGACACACAGTGAAAATACATGAAAATTCTTTTTTCTTTAATACAAAACATGAGCGCTATTGACCGCCCGTGGTTACTACTTCGTTTATTTGTACAGAGAACGAATAGATGGCGATTGGGCCTAGCATTCATCCTCATGGTGCAATTGCTTTATTACAAGCCAAAAAGGCTTCTGCCCTTCCACGAGCATCACAGGAAGGGATCAGGTCAGGTAATATGGCTTGGTAAACGATTAGATAAATCATGTGATTGCGTTAAGAGCGATGAAAATATCGATGCGGCCATATCATCTCAGTAATGTAGGACCTGAGCTAGAATCTATGATCATGTGTTAGGCTAACAAAAATGGTCACCACTAGGCCACTGGGCCCAAGAGGGCAAAACAGCTCTTGCTCTCGGTTGGTTTTTTTAGTTTATTTTTAGTAACTGTGAGTAACTAGTGTGGCTAAATATTAAAAACTCATATCGAACGTTAAACACCTGGCACACAATACGCCTGAACGACGTTTGAAGCCACGGGATCATGTACGCAATATTGAGTTATATTCTAGGAGCGTGTATGCGGAATCGATCAAATAGCTTTAAATTAATTTTATTTACTGGCGTCCAAGCGACAAAGGGATTCAATAACTCATTCATTCGAAGACTCTCTCATGTGTGGCGATTTTAAATTCATGGAACTTCATGCCAGTGCATAAATTTGCCCGATAACGATGGAAATGCCCTGTTTAACTAACAACAACAAATCTGAATCTTGCAATATGTTCAAGCAAATCTAGTCATTTCATCTATTGGCATTGACGGAATAGATTAAATCCAATTACTAGGTTGTTTTATGGTTGTCATAAAAAATCATCAAACATTTGATGGTTGTGTTATTTACCTTTCGCAAATTGATATTTTATTTCTAGCATTTAAGAATCGACACTTCTGCCCAACAGGTTTAGAACTAGTACATACTATTCAATACATTTCACAACATGCAAAATTCATTCAACAATACTGGATAAAATACTGTTTGCAAGGCTGCTAATAATCAAACCAAATTACGAAGCAAAACCACTCGAATACTTAAAGAATGAAAACTTCACGCAAGACATTTGAAAAATGCAACTAACCATTGCTTAACAGGCTACTATTACTGCTGCTAAGTTATGTGAATATAGTTAGTGAATGATTTATCCGTGCGTCTTTCATCAATTATTGGTATCCAATTTATATATTTCAGATAAATTTCAGTGTCACGCTTTATTTCGAATGGAAAAAAAAAACAGAAATCTATAATCAGACACCCAACCAAGTATTACCTTACAAGTAGAATTTAAGTGAACAAAAAATACTCCCTAACTAGAAATCAAAATTCATCAAAACAAAAAAGGACAACTTTGATATTCTTACTTCTGCAGAACACATTTTCATCATTTCGGTTGAACGGAAACTGGCGGCCGCTGAATCACTGAGAACGAAACAGTTCCTATAAACCATATGGAGAAAACGAAAAAAGTATGAAACATCAACATCTAAAACAAACAGTTTTGCAGTAGAAGAAAATGAAATAGACGTGTTATTAAGTTACTTAAAAAAACTGAAACAAAAATCTCAAGCAACAATATCCTCCTTCTCGAATATTCGTCTGATATATAAATAATCAATTAGCAGCAACTTTAAAAAAGGAAACTTTTCTCTTTGTAATTTCACGAAAACGAAAAATAAATCTCATTTCTTATACAAAACAATAAAAATAAACGGTGTTTGTCGTTGTTCGATGCCTGCACACAGCATGGATGGTAAACACGCTACTAATTACCACACACAGTATGGACACAATTAAAAAGTAACACTTATGTAAATTTGCTTTGTATATTTTTTGTAAAATATTTATTGAATGATCGGTTATTAATGGTAACATGTAAAATTATACTGAAAATATACAATTAAGTGATAAGTTGAAAAGATAAAAAGGAAACAAAACAATTAATATTAATATAAACAAACAAAGCTAAAATTCACTGTAGATGTTCGAATAAAATTAAAAGTAAACAAAATTATGCCCAGCAAAACCAAACAAAAAAAAAGAAAGTAAAAGCTACAGTTAGAAATGGATGCAAAGAAAAATGACAAGTGGTCGAAGGATAAAGGATAATTCGTATTACAGATAAAATGAAAACTAATGTTGATTTGAAGCATAACTTGAAAGCGAATAAAAAATATGTAAAATTTCAATCCTTATAGGTTATGGTGAACGGTATTTGAAAAATGAACAAAAAGAAATGTAGCAATCTTGTTGGTGCTCGTGAATCAGTTTTTCCATTTTACCAGAACTATATCACTAGCAGGGTTTAAACGATTGACGTTTTTTACTACACTCGCTTCGTTGTAGTGCGCGACAGTCTGTTTGTATTTGTACTCTCATGCTCTACCGCCGACTCTCTTGCACAACACAAACGGTAGAACAACATTCGAGCAAAAAGAAAATTATCAAAAAACTATCATATGACATGTGTGATTTCGGTCTAATTCCTCAATTTGGTGTAAATTAAACCATTTCTGATCAGAAATGTTATTAGTAGGACAACGTTGCTTGCTATTTTCAGAACTCATACAACATCAGCATCTCTTATTATGAGGCATTTTAATTCATGAGATCCTGATGATCTTCTATATAGTTGCAATCTTCAAGGAGCGCAAGCGTTACGTAGTGAGAGATCATCAATATGTACTCTCTACCTTCCGGCAGGCCTTAACTTTTCGAGTAAGTTTACCGAATACAGCAAGTTCAGGAAGTTCAAATGCACGCTAAATAGCGCCACGTAGTGAGTGATCTTATATGTCTATCGATTAAAGGGCCTTGGTCATCTAAACATCTTTGCCGAAGATAACAACTTTAATGTCCTATATGAACTAGCTCTAGAGATATAGTTTATATAGGAAATTTTTATGCATACCAGCGCCGCATTGTTGGAGAATTTTGAACTAATCTGATTACCATCCGAACTTAGTTATCTGAACTGCTTTACCCATGACAGCCACTTTGTATATTATATGACCATGATCACGAGCTATTCTAGCTTTGAACTCTCATATCAAGAACAACATGTGAAAAGGGCATACAAGCTTTTTGTAAACAAACCTTCTCATGACCTTTTCTCGCCACCCACATGACACCCACGCAAACCATCAACATCACCGGGTAGGGTAAACTTTCCCCTTCCCGATGATGTTGTTGCTTTGCGTGGGTGGCCCTCGGTTGGCTTACAAAGGTTTGTTTACAAAAAGCTTGTATGCCTTTTTCACATGTGGCTCTTGATATGCTACTCTACAGGGTGCGTGACGAATTTTTGCAGTAAATGGCATATTTGAGAAAAAATACACCAGTTAGTTATTCTAGCAATGAATTTTGTGCGATTTATTTTCTTTCGCAACATATGGAAGTTGTAAGTAAATTTATTCAAAAAAATTGCCTTCCCTTTCGACGACTGTAGTTAGACGCTTCCGGAAACTGCAGTATGCACGTTTTAAAATGTTTCGATCCATAGATGTCATCACTGCCTTGATTTTAGCTTTTAGCGACTTAAGTGTGGTGTGAGGGGTTCTATTGGTATCCCGTTGGACGACGCCTTATACAAAATAATCCAACGGATTGATATCGGGACTGCTTGGGGGCCAAATTTCTTCCTCCCAAATTTACGAAATATTTTCCGTAAGCCATTTCTGTGCTTTATTAGCAGTATGAGCAGGTGCTCCGTCTTATCACTTTCCCAAGCCTTTTTTAATATTATACACTGTTCTTTCAGACACATTTACCGACCGAATTATTTCTTTCATGCATACTCCGGCGCGCAACAAAGCGACAACGGCTGACAGATTGCTCTCTTGTTTCGACATCTTTACGTTCACTCAACATTGTTTGTTTAAATCTGACACCTAACAGTATAAGCTATCCAGTGCTGCCAAATATTTCTAAATCATGATGCACAAGCATGAGAAATTACTATTTGAAATTTACTGCAAAAATTCGTCACGCACCCTGTAGATGACCCATCTTAACCAACCTTACCCTATCCTCATGCAAAACTGAGCGCTCAAGGATCTGACGATAATAGGTAGAGGTATTTCCGAAGAAAAGTTAGGAATACATTCTGAAGAAAAGCATGTTGGGCTGTTTGGATATTGAATAGTGTAATAACCTGCAGAACAATGATCAAACAGAATATACCTAACCATTTGAATTGCTTTGAGCATTATTCCAAGAGCGGTGTTTTGCATTAAAATCACCAATAATGAAGAATTTAGACCTATGACGGGTAAGTTTCTGAAGTTCACCATTGAGAAAATTCTTTTGCTGACCTACGCATTGGAATGGCAAATAGGCAGCTATAAAAGTAAGTTGTTAAAATTTTGTTTCGACAGAATCTCCAAAAGTTTCAAAAACTTTGGTTTCTAACGAAGTAAGAATTTAATGTTCCATGCCCCATTCTATTCAACCTGTTCACCTCCGATGATTCATCCAACGTCTACAAGTGTAGGGTCATCGGAGCTCTGACTGCCAAACTTCAGAGAGGCCTGGACGTCCTGTCTAAATATTTCAACAGCTGGAAGATCCTTATCAACGCGGCAAAGACCCAGGTCATCATATTTCCACACTCTAAATCTCCCAGACTTGTTCCGTCGGTGAATAATAAGATCTGCCTGAACGGCACAGTGGTGGAATGGTCGAAAGAGTTAGTCTACCTCGGCTTAACACTAGACAGCAAACTGATTTTCAGGGAGCACGTTGACAAAAACAAAACCAAGTGTAACATCTTGATAAGATCACTATATCCACTCATCAACAGGAGGTCTACTCTATCCCTGAAAAATAAGCTTGCTGTCTACAAACAAATCATCCTTCCCGTAATAGAATACGGGATGCCAATCTGGGAGAGTTGCGCCAAATGCCATCACCTTAAACTCCAAAGGATCCGGAACAAGATCCTTAGGATGGTCCTAAACAGTCCCCCGCGGACTAGAAATTCTGAAATCCACCTCTTGGCTGGAACTCTGACATTAGAAGAACGGAGAGTATTCATCCTGGAAAGGTTCAGAGACACCTGTCTAAGATCTAATCATCAGATCATATATGATCTAGCACGTTAAGTTAAGTTATGCTCGTAGTTAGGTAGGGTTTCACTTTTTTTAATTCAAACAAAACACACCCCCAAAGGGGTATTTTGTAATCAAGTTGAAAAACGCAAATATTAAATTAGAATTTCAAATTAATCAAAGATGAAGAGCCAGCTAGGCTAATCAATTAAAATGTTAAATCAATGTACTATCATAATCAACAGAAATAAACATAATTTTACTACTACTACCATATGCCATATAGGGCTAGGACAAGAGTTAGTTTTCAGGTCCCAACCGCTAAAAGAAAATGGAGCATAATTTAACCTTTTTAGACTAGATTCTCTCAAAGACCAATGATTTATAAATAATAATACAACGGAGCGTACGGTACGACATGTCCACGTTTCATCCATTTATTGGATTCTGAAGCATCGTGTTTAAATCTTGGAGGCCTTTGTTGTTTGCCGCAACTTTGTTCCCTCTCCCCCTTGTAGCGTATTTTTCTACATGACTGGTCGCCCTAAAATGCTACGTCATCTCTGGATCTTCCGTTACATACAAAAAATTGTCCAAAAACTGTATAAGCATTTTCCCGAAGACACTACCTAAAACAAACGGTTTAAGCGCAAAATTTGTTGTCATCCTAAATACGACCTTGGGACCATTGCACAATGTAGTCAGACGAAGTACCCAAGAAAATTATATAATTAAATAATGTTGTTTACAGCTGAGCGTGAACTTTATTTGTATAAAAACTAAATTATTCAAAAAAACAAAAAAAAAACAAAATGCGCTTGAATATTCGAAGGAATGTGATATTCTGAAAGATTCTTTTCAGATTTTACAATCGGGTCGACGAAATAGAACCCCAGCCCTTGCTATATGGGATAGCATTATTTCCAACTTAGGTGACAAGAACAATAAAGAAAAACTATGGATAGAAAAAGATTAAATAAAAATTATTAAAATAATAAAAATTATAATAAATAAAAGCACAGGATTTCTTTCCATATTCATAGCACGCCAACACACGGATCAAATAATTATCACGATAGAAACAAAATACTTATTCTATATTTTACTGCCTGAAAGTCAGTGAAGCATTTAACCGAAGACAACAAATCAATAAGACTGGCAACTCTTCCATTTTCTCATACGTACGCTATGAGACTATAGTCGCTATATTCGACTTTAGTCTATATAGCGACTATATATGAGACGGGTACAATCGCGTCATCTGCCACTCTAAGGTAAATGCTTCGAACGAATTTGATAGCAGAGATTACATCCTCAGAAGAAAGGTTTGTGTATTTGCTCATTTTTCTATGCGTTGCTTCCACCTTCACTCAAGCGCAGCGCTTTTATATCTGTCGCTTGGATTCTGGCAAAGTTGCAAGTCTTCTTGATATGATGTTTTCGATATAATGCTAGTTTCTGTGAATTGATTATATGGTTTTATGAAACAAACTAATTTTCATAAAACACTTAGCTTAAAAAGAGTATTTTCAATGAGATAAACAATATCAAGCTAGGGACCCATCACCATACAAAAATCTTTTCATCCTACCCTGACATAATTTTACTATTTATGCTCATTAATCTCCCGGACACTTTCGTTCCACAGCCGTTCCGAAACCTGATCATCGAATACAAACTTTGATTTAGTCTGCTTCACGTTGGCAATGTAATATCCAGTAGCCGGATTCTTATCCGCAGTGTTCACATTATCCGTAGCACAAAAGATGATGTTTTGCGCACCCTAAAATATGTTAAAAATGTTTAAAGAATAATTAAAGGGTAAAAGTCACGCAACTATACCTGTTTAGCGGATCGGAGCATTAGCCAAACGACTGGTGAAAACAGAACGTAATGGTACCATTTTGGGTTGTAGTCCCGGAAGAAATCCGTATGGCACAGACCCGGACACAGCACGTGGACGTCGTATCCCTTTTTGTACAGTTCACGAGCAAAGTAGAAGTTCATCAGCTTGGAGTTATTGTACAGATTGTTGAAGCGTTCGCCTTGAGCACGATCGACCCATTTTCCCAAGTTATCGAAATCAATCTTTGCCTTCTTCTCGTGCATTTTTGAAGATACCACCACGACCCGTGTAGTGTCTCCAATATTACCCTTCAGAAGGTCAACCAGCAGAAAATGTCCCAAATGGTTAACACCAAAATGCACTTCGTAGTTCTCCTTCGTGTACTGCGGAGTCTGCATCGCCAAGCCGGCATTGTTGATCAGGCAATCGAACCTCGGATACGTCGCCTTAATCTCGGCGGCAAATTTATTAATCGATTCAAACGAAGCGAGATCCAGCTCCAGTGGGATCATCTCTCCTTTGCTAGTCTTCTGCCGGATTGTAGCGATGGCCTGGCTAGCTTTCTCCATATTGCGACAGGCCATGATGACGGTGGCATCACGCGCTACCAGTGCCTTGGCCGTTTCGTAGCCAAGTCCAGTGTTGCTTCCCGTTACGATGAAAACTTTGTCGCGAAGGGAGTAATTGTGGCGCACCCAACCCCACTGCCGCTCACGTAGCTTGCGGATCAGATAGATGCCAGCACCGATCCCGACCGGGATCATCAAATACAACAGAGAGGACATTTTCTTTCAGTTTTCCAATTGGCTGGGAAAAGGTCGAAACATTTGTGTTTATTGCATTTGTTTTGGTAAAAGTAATTTAAGGTACAATCATGTGATCCATGTAGGTTTTTGGTAGTGAACGTAAGGTACTTGTAGGTTAGTTGTAGGAACCCAAGGGTTTGATAAAACAATATAATTATGTACAGTGTTAATGTTCAATACAAGTGTTGCATGTGCATTTCTAATATGAATTAAAAAATTAGTATAGAAACTTAAAAAGAAAAGCATGTGCATTAGTCATGAATGCGTCGGAGTAGAGGGTCCTTCTCAAATCCCGAGTATTTTGAAAAAAAAAATTGAAAGCTGCAAAAACTATGTGGAATAGCACAAAAAACAAGATGCCTAGAGTCACTGATTTTAAAAATTTAAATTCTCGTTTTTTTCTGATGCACAACATATTTTTCCAGGTTTCATAGAAACAGCTAAATATGGTAAAAAGGGAATACCGGCATGGTTGAATTCAACGATTGATGCAATTCAACGGCTTAAATGCAGAAACCCGTAGAAACCTCCCTCCCTCTATTGAGAAACAACGTAATCTACGGAATACCATTTGAATTCTCGGAAAAAGATTTTTAAAGGATTAGGGGAAACGCTCCTATAGTTGCGGTATGTAGAAGCGTTAGGTTCCTATAGTTGTGCATGGAAACTAAATACGCAACTATAGGAACCTAACACTTCTAACGTACCGCAACTATAGGGGTGTTTACCCTACATAAGAAAATTTTAAATATTTTGAGGCAAGACATTTTTGAACTTTGTGAGATTTTTTACTTGAAATATGGCCTATTTTAAAGATCTCAGATTTGAACAAGGAATCATGACTCTTAGACTAGGACAGCGTTTTAGCACCGACGAACCGACATACCACAGGAGCATTTCGTTTGTCCACAATTCGAATTGTCAAACAGGCGATTCGAACTTTCAAACGGGCGATCAGATCTGTCAAACGAGGTGAGCCGAAAGCCAAGGCAATATAAACTATACGTGAGTTCGTGTCCTTGAGTAGATGTCGGTAGTGTTTAAGGTGCACTTCCACTTCGAATTTTCAATTACACAAATCTCGGAAATCAGTGCAGTGCAGCAAACGTAGGGTAACAATTTAAATGTTGCACGTGTCGTAGAAGCTGATATGTGTGCACTTAAAATTTCGAAGTGGTTACGAGAATAAGTATATCACAGCGAATCACTTTAACGTATTTTAAATGTGGCGTCTTGGGCACGAATTTGAAAGTTGCTTGTATGAGCTGTCACGTCGGTTCGTCGGTGATTTTAGGATTCTGACACTTCAAAGAATTGGCTAGAGAATTAAGATGAGAATGCCAAATTAATAGATGAGAAATGTCGAGGAATTCTAGGGATCATTATGAAGGAGGGAGATTTTCAATGCTATTTGACTAGAAATTTCAGGTTATTTTGCGAAATATTTAAAGAAAATTGTAAGGAGGACTACAAGTGATTTCTAAGGTAGTTCTGAAGAGATTATTATGAGACGAATTTCACGCTAATTCGACAAATGGTTGGCAGCACCCTCTCAGATGTCAATGAAACTTTGTAAGTGTATAGATTCCGTCTACTTAAGCAACTTTGCATACTTATTTTCTAAAAAAAAAATCTAGACCAACATTTGGAAAGGGCAGAACTTTTTTGCCATCATTTTCTTCAAAAAATTATAACTCAATAATGTCAAGTCCTAAATAAATGAGCTTTTGTTGCTCACTTTGAAAGTTTTCTAAGAATTTGCTTTCAGTGAAGTCCCAAATTCCATACCCGAGCAAAGTCCAGCATCAAAATGAAAGCAAATCGAAATCAAGTTTTGATGTCAACATCAAACTGAAATCATAATTTGATTTCAGTTAACGCAGTTGCCAAACCGAGCAAAGTCTGAGATCAAATTGAAATCTAAATTTGATGTTGTGATTTCGCTGATAATGATTACTCAGGTTGTTGTCGTTTTGGTCGTTTTAACGGTTAAAATATCAAAATTGAGAGCAAACAAATCTTCCTGTGACATCACATTGAAAACTATTTCTGCTATCAGTGAGAGCAAACTGAAAACCAAATTTGCTATCCATTTTCCTGTTGATAACAAAACAAGTACATATTAAATTTGATGTCATGCTAAGGCAATGAAAACAAACCCGTAACAACATATTTTTAAAGAGCAAATGTACAGCAAAATGAAAACAAAATCTTGAAATTTCAAACTGCAATCAAACAGTGAGGAGCGCCCACTGCTATCGGACTTAGTTCCCGTGCTACAATGAGTGCTAGACAATTCAAGAGCAAATTTTCATTATGTCGTAAGTAACATTCGCACCGATCCGAGAAAAATAAAGTTTTGTTTTGATGACCGAAAAGTTATTCCTATTTCCAATTAAACACATATAATCTCATAGTGATAGCAATGTTTAACATATTTAGCCGGGTTTTAATCATACAAAGGCAAATCGCTAGCTTTCATGCTAAGAAATACTGGTTTTTGAGTCAAAAGTTATTATACGTCGTTTGGTGGCCCCTATTGTTACTTAAGTCAAAGTGTATTTACCAGGATATTCGGGAGAATTATCAATTACGTCTCCTTACGTGCAGTCCATTCATCATTTTAGGACCACCGAAATCATCTTAGCAACAAACAGTTCGATTTATTCACTTTAATAATGAGAAAGCGAAACGACGAAAGTACACTTTTCACGGGTTTCTCAGTGCTGTTACTTAAGGCAAACGGCATCTCCATAGAAATCGGGTGACTTAAGTAACATCGAAAACTATTTTGATCGGAAGGTGATTACGTCAAAAAGCAATTCGACTGGTAAATAAATTTAAAAATGGGATGTGAACCTATATTCGGACAGTATATAGTGTAATAGCAGAAGCATCGATTGACACTTATAGCTCGACTTTGTTTACCTTTGTTACATTCGACGTAATGAAAATTTGCTCTTGAATTATCATCACATCTCCCGAAGCATTCTCCGAAAATTCCCACGGAATTATGCTGCAGATTATTTTTCTTCTTCTTCTTCCTGTCATAAGACTGAATGATTGTTGGTGATTTGAGTCCAATATAGTATAGCCTTATTGATCTTTCTATTATTTGCTAGTTATTCTATTTTTCAAAGCAGCAAATTTTCTTCGCAAGTGTTAAGAAATTATTTTCCGGGATTCGACCTAGTGATCGTTCGGCCTAATGACCTTCGGCCTAATAACCCAGCATTCCTTCGCGAGCATTCAATATAATTTGTATGATATTTCTCAAAATAAGTCCTGGTATAATTTAAGGTACAGAACATTTCCCCGAAACACCAGAAATATGTTCTGATGTAGTCGGTGGGTCCTGGGTACTCAATAACCACCAGTTTATCGTGTCTTGAAGTTCCTTTGATTTTAACATCAAAATTTCATAATTCAAAAGCTCTACCTTTGACATATCGAATCATAATAACACTACATAGATCATCGACTAAAGAAGGCATCGAGTTGTAGAAATATCGACTTATGGAGAGTACGATACATCGCGTTAGAAGGTGTAATCAAAAGAGCTGTACTGTCTACGTAGTTTATGAACAGCCCCTTAGCCCCGAGTTCAGATTGACGGTGACGAAATCGAGGTGGTCGATCAGTTCGTGTATTTGGGCTCACTGGTGACCACCGAAAATGATGCCAGCAGAGAAATTCAAAGACGCATTATGGCAGGGAATCGTGCCTACCTTGGACACCGGAGGACGCTCCGTTCGAATAAAATTCGCCGCCGCACGAAGTTGACTATCTACAAGACGCTGATTAGACCGGTGGTCCTTTACGGCCACGAGACCTGGACTATGCTCATGGTTTGGTGTTTTCGATCGGAAGGTGTTGCGTACCATCTACGGTGAAGTATAGATGGATGCCGGAACGTAGAAGAGACGAATGAACCACGAATTGCACCAGCTGCTGGGAGAACCATCCATCGTACACAATGCTACTACTGTGGGTTGGGCACGTTGTAACTCCGGAAGATCACCAAACCTTTCGTCAATAATAAATGTGTCTCTGTGCAAGATTTGGCCAGAAAACTGAGAACATCGTAGAGTAACGTCCAACGAGCCAAGGCAAGAAACGGACTGAAAACGTTCAAGAAGCAGAAGAAGACGAAACGGCGTCAGAAACAAGCCGCATCCATCAAACCGAGGGTGAGTGTCATCATGGACGATGAAACATACGTCAAATTTAATTACAAGACGCTTCCGGGAGACCAATACTACTACCATAGAGGTAACTCTAAGACTAGTAGGTCCCGAAGAAACGTACTCAACTTTTTGGCTCAGCTCTGGTACTATCTTCCGTCCCAAGCTAATCGATGCACCCCTCGAAACATAAAAATATCCACGAACCCCTCATTTTATCTGTCAAATTTTCATAGAGAATCAAAACAAACATAGTGTAGTACTAGAATTTCAACTAGAATGGCGTACGTTAATCGATTTGCTTGGGACCAATAGGCTAATCAAGTAGAGAGCCAATTTAAAATAGTTAGTTTCCACCGGTTGCTACTACTGATAAGTCAATTTTTACCGGAAAAAATTGGCAAGAAGGCCATGCTTTTCAAGCGATGTGTGAGTGTGACGAACGAGACGATGAACACAGAAATTTACGTTCGGGGGTATTTGAATCGGCGTGTGCGGCCCATGATCCGTTAACATGATAACCCAGTACTATTTTGGCCTGATTTGGCGTCAATGAACTACTCGAAAGACACCGTAGCTTGGTACAAAGCAAACAATGTGCAATACGTGCCAAAAAAAGATGAATCCTGTGAATTGTGCGGAGGCCCAGCCAATCGAAACTTGTTGGGCCCTTTCTAAGCGATGTCTACACTTAAAGGCAGCGAATTCAATCGAAAAATTTTAAAAAGGCTGGACAACTATGGCCAAAATTATCGCCAAGGAGTCTCATGGACAGTGTCAGATCAAAAATTCGCTCCTTGGCATACGATTAAAGGAACTGCGGATTACTTTCATCCAATTGAAAGAAAATACTATAGAGAACATATACAGTCAAATTTTGCTCGTTGGGCTAAATCTGTAGCCCACTTAGTGAAAGACTTTCGTTACTTGAGCTGAGCTGTCAAGCTGAAAATTGGTTGAGGGATACACCGATTGTTTATTATCATCGCAATCCTTCCAAAATTGTTCATACATGAGCCCCTCGAAAAAGAAATAGTACTGTCAAAAATGACGTTTGACTTCGATTTAGGTGGGCTACAACCCAACTAACGGAAGCCCAACTAAAACGTAGCCCACCTAAACATAGCCCGGCGAGCGAAATTTGACTATATATGAAATACAAATTTTGTGCTCATTAACATAACGTTGTTTTATTCCAATAATAAACTGTGCTTATACTTTCTGGGACACTCTATACATGTAAGCAGTGGCGTCGCCTTAACCTCAATCTACCTGTTCAACAACTCTCAAAACGTAAACAAACAAAAGAATATTGGTTGACATGGATACAAATCAGTGAAACTAGAAGACTCTGTGTCCTTTGAAACTGATTTGAATGTAAACATGACCCTAAATAACGTTTTCAAAGTTGTTGAACAGGTAAAAAGTGAGGTTACGCGACGCCACTGCATGTAAGTAATTCGAAGGGCACCTTGCCAAATGTTGATCTATTAATTAATCAAAGAGAAATTCTGAGGAGAGCTGCCAGGATACATGGACAATAACTCTAAGGGAATAAAATTCATAATATAGCACACACAAATTTATTGCAGAATTTAAAGTTATTTTGAAGATAGTTTCAAGACAATTCCTAAAATAATTCATACGAATGTCGAAGAAATACAAAAAAAAGAGGGTTTGTCATGAAATTTGTACCATATTTCCTCAGAAACCCTGAGTAGTGTTCCAGGAAATTCTGAAGAAATCTCCAAGGGAACTTTATGGAGAGTTTCAAGAGAATTCCTAGAAAATTCATTCTTTGATTTTGAGAAGCATTTCAAGGAAATCATGAGTTGAAATCCAAGGAAATTTCGGGATAACATTTTTTTTTAATTCTCTATAGCATACCAAGAGTTTCCAGGCATATTCCAAACGAATTGTAAAGAAGATAAACTTAATTATCGCAAGAGGAATTCCCTTAAGTGTTCTGCACAGAATTTTCATTTTCATAGATACATTTTACAGGGAATACCGGACAGAATCATAAGATTATTGAAAGTTAAAGTAATTCTGAAGACATTTTGAAATGATCTTAAGGAAATGCTGAGATAAGTTTCAATTAAATAATTTAGTTTATTTTAATATTCCACATAAAATGCAACCAAGCGTTCACTGGAAACACATTTCGTTTCAACCTCCCCAATGAGGTTCCAGATCTTAAAAAACTGTCTGAGATTATGGGGTCAGGATGAAAATCTTAAGAGAAATAATTAAAATACCGAACAAATTATTAACTAAGTTCAACCAAATTCCCGGTTATTTCAAGGGTTTTCCCTGCCGTTTTCGATTCCCGGTTCCCCGGTTTTCCCGGTTCAGTGGCCACCCTTATTTACGTCCATATGTATTCTTGAGGATTAAACGGAGTAACTATTGAAAAACAATTAGCACAAGGTATGAAAAGTTAATTCGAGTTGGAGCTTTCCTCCATGATTTAAAGAGTAGTTTTGTAGGCAGCAGTTGAAGAAGTAATCATTGGAAGAGGTTTGGAGAACACATGACAAATTCAGAAGAATAACATTATAAGTCTGGGTAGTGTCGCTGGACAAACACCGGTCAGAAAACATTTCAACGTTCGCAAACTTTCTCGAACGTTCAGACAAATTTGCAACAGGTCTCTTACGGGATTTAGGTACCTAATCATGACAATATGATACGAAGTATGCACAGCAATCAGACTGAGTATTAGTAGTCGACACATGAAGATGAACGCAATGAATATGCACATTCCTTATCCTTAATCCATAATCGTACACAAGTGTCCCACATGAGTATTAATGATGATGTGTTTATGTACAACAAAACAGTGGTAAACTGAGAAACCACGCGGTAGCAGAACTTCAAGCCCTCTAATGCGCGATCGCAACGTCCTCTATCCCTTCACCAAGTTTGACCGTTTAGTGACCCAAGGCTTATAAGTTAGTGACCGTGTTAGAGTTCTCCCTTCCACCAAAACCAAACAGCAACTTCAACTGCTCCTGCCGGACTCTTCGATCGCTTCCACACTTTCGTTCCATAACCGTACGGAAATCTGCTCATCGAACGGAAACTTCGACTTCCGCATCTTGACATTGGACACAAAGTATCCGGTGACCGGGTTTCGTTTCTCGTCGGTTACACTGTCCGTTGCACTGTAGATGATATTCTGGGCACCCTAGGCGAGAAATTAAAATGTTTAGTTGATCACCGCTATTCACATCTTTTCGGTTGTCGAGCGACTCGAACCTGTTCTGCAGACCGCAGCATCAGCCACACTATCGGCGAAAACACCAGATAATGGTACCACTTGGGATCGTAGTGACGGAAAAAATCCGTATGGCACAAACCGGGACAAAGCACGTGCACGTTGAATCCTCGTTTGTACAGCTCTCGAGCAAAGTAGAAGTTCATCAGTTTCGAGTTGTTGTACAATCGATTTAAACGACTGTCATAATCGACCCATTTTCCTAGGTTTTCGATGTCTACACTTGCTTCTATTTCGTGCATCCTTGACGACACGACCACGACTCGTGAGTTGTTCTTCTTCAGATTGTCTTTTAGCAAATCCACTAAAAGAAACTGACCTAAGTGGTTCACGCCAAAGTGAACTTCAAATCCCTCCTGGGTGAACTCAGGCTTCTGAGCAGCCAAGCCAGCATTGTTAATCAAGCAGTAAAAATCCGGATACCTGAGTTTGATTTCCGAAGCAAACTTACGGATGGATTGGAACGATGCCAAGTCCAGCTCCATCGGTATCAATTGACCTTCCTTGGTATTTTGGCGGATATTTTCAATCGCTTCGTTAGCTTTGGATATATTGCGGCAGGCCATAATCGTGGTAGCTTGCCGAGCGGTCAGGGCTTTGGTAGTTTCATATCCAAGTCCGGTATTCGCACCAGTTATGATGAAAAGTTTCCCTTTCAGAGAGCTCTTATTCGTGACCCAGCCCCACTTTCGGATTTTGTACCGTCTCAATGCATAGATACTGGCCGTAAGCAGACCGGACGGAATCAGTAACTCGTAAGGGATAGAGGACATTGTTTTCGCGCGAGTACGAGCAAACGACTAGAATAAGAAAAATTGAAACCACTTTTTAATTATGCACTTTCACACAACTTCTGCCTTTATTAGTTAGTATTGATGATATTCCTAACATTTTTGTCAAACGTCTTCGATGTCAAGGGCTCTCCGGGAATGTAGAACGGATTGCAAACCGCATCCGTATAGAGTGAATGCAAGTTTCTAAACATACTTCTGACTTCGTTCTCCCGGAACGAGGTGTTACTCGAATCTATAACAATCACAAGCTTCACTTTTGTGTTTGTAACGTATCCGTAGATCTTGTAGATCTCGGTTGAATTAAGCAGCCCCAAGTAGAGTTCCCTTCCATCGGCGCTTTGCTTCTGACCGGAGGAACATTTTTCCTCAATCACATCGAGCGACGCATGGACCTGATACTGAAGCTCGATCTCCTTGTCCGGGCTGGCCGTTGCAATATAAAGCGGCGAGTTGTCCTTACCGATAATCGACACGCAGGCACACATTTCTAGCGTAATAGACCGGGGATTGCCTCACAAAACTAGTCTTTTGAAGAACTACAAGAGAGAATAAAAAAGGGAAACTTTGAAATAGGCTACAACTAGAAATGTGGCTTACGTTGTTGGGTCGATTCAGTATCAATAAGCAAAAGTGAAATTATAATTTTTCAAATCAATTAATAAGTGCTAATTACTTGCTAATGGCCAACGATCATAGCATTTGATACAGTTTAATTGGCTATTGATTGAAATTTAAGTTTCCCCCAAGATTCATCTTAAGTCAAGGCACTGCTTAAGCTATATAATGTTCACCAAGTATTGAACCGTGTCTATGAGCATAAACAAACTTCGTCCCATGATGGTTTTATGCATACATATTCAAATATTCAAGTGCGAGCCCGGCTGAGATGGAAGCACCGAAGTAAATGATGGAAGGTGATGAAAACAGAAAACAGGTTTTTATCTAAACTTGAGAGATGCTGGATGCTAACTATTAACCAGCAGCGGCCGTATCGTCACACAGAATGACCATGAAAAAGAAGGAGTGACAATATCGGTCCGCTTCTTCTTGTGTGCATACGTGGATGATATGGTGCAATGATTTTCTGCTTTCTCATTTGTTGCAACTATTTGGGCATTGGATTACATTCAATGGATGCAATTCAAACATTGATTGTTAAAGTTTGCATTCTATTACATTGCATATTTGGAAACGTCGAAAATTTGTCAGTGAATAATCAAAGAGATAGGTATCGAACCCGTCATTGTTGTTATTGTTGTTTTAGACCAACATATTTTAGACAAAGCTAATTAATATTTAAAGTAAACCCGTAATAGGACAAACAAACTTACCTAGACTTTGATTTGAAGCTGTTAATCTACACTAACTTAAATGCGTTTTTTAAAGATAACTTTTAAGCTACAGTGAAACAACCAACTCGTGACGAAGGTTTGTTTACAACTGGTTGGATCAATCAGGTCAGTTCGATTTCAGTTTGTGCCGCTATCCGATAATGATACAGCGGCTTTCAAGGTTTTGACAGTTACAAATAGTGACAAAGTATAGGTACCAGTGATGCCACATATACAGATTTTCTTGAATGTATAGATTTTTAGAAATTTTTCGAAGCAGAAATTTGTTTAAAGATTACAGATTTTTGTAACAAATATACTGAAAACTGCATTAGGGCTGATGCATATATTATGTCACGCTCTAAGGGGGAGGGGGGGTCTAAGATTTTGTGACAAGCAATGCATTAGGTATAGGAAAAACGTCACGATAGGGGAGGAGGGGGTAATTTTTTGCTCGATTTAGCGTGACATAATTAATGCATGGGCTAGGTCCTATGTAACATTGACAGATTCTCTTCGTTGGCTTTCTCTTTGTTTCCCCACGGCCATGTAAAAACATTCCCAGGTACTTTCAGCACACAGATCGATAAAAGATGCTCTTATATATGCCTATGGCTAAAAATCTCTAAAATAAAGATTTAAAATAATGGATGCTCTTACACACTTAATCTAGCTCGGTAAAATCTCCAACAGCCGATTACCTCGGCATTTACTTTTGCTGATATATCTGCAAAATATCTGTTTGTTAGCTGATATCTCAGCAAAATGATATTTGTTAGCTGAGTCTCGGCAATTGTTTTACTGAACCTCAGCAAAATAAATTGCAGAACTACTCGGCTGTTGGAATCTCGGCGAAAAAATTTAAGTGTGTATATAGCATCTTTTTTTCACTCTTTGTTTCAAATTCAAAATAAATTACATTTAATTTTAACCTACACGAAACGAAAATCAATTATTTTATTCATGTGTTTCACATATACATTTTTGTCAAAACATAATCCTTAAACTTTCCATAAGACATACCCCGACCAACCGTTCGTGAAACTTCTTCAAGGTGCTTTATACTGAAATAAAGATTTATGTCGGCAATTCTTTACTTTAAATTTTCTATGATTTCGATGTAAACATTTAAAAATCTTTATTGCTCGATACTTACATTTAAGATTATTTCTTCATCGGTCATATGATAGTAATCTATAAAGATGCCATACTAAATTTCTTTTAATTTCTATTTGTCACATGGACTTTAGTATTCTTTACAAATATTCATCAATAAATATTTAAATACTGATATCATCGTAACTTTGAACTTTGACAAAGAACAACAAAGATTGCCATCGATGCACATTTATTATCTCCTTGTTATCGATTTGCATCGCTGGTTAAAGAGAGTTCGAGACACACCAGGTGACAGATAGCAATGTTTATATTATTTATCGACATATTTGGCATTTCATCGGAAGAAGCAATCTGCTGGTAAATGAACGAGAAGACCGATGGCCGTGACGCAGCAAATGTTTACCATTGTAGTTCTTCACGTTTTATATTTAATAACCCGTGATAGCATGCGTGGTGGGATTCTCGGCATTTGGAACCCAATGAGGAAAATTAATACCTTTTTGACCTCTATTACACCTACATGGCTGACTGGTTGATGGTTATGACAAAACCGAGGACAAAACAATATTGAATTCATGTATGAAAAGATTTACAGAAATTTCAATACACCACATACTAGAGTGTGTTTGCCTGTCGTTGATAAGCTCATCAACAGCAGCTGTGGACCTGAGGATTAGCAACCAACAACGAAATCAGTACACCCCAGATGGCCTGGGATCGAAACTAGAAATTATGCAGATAAAAAATCACAAATAAAATCAGCAGTTGTGTATCGATATTTTGATTTTACAACAGAAATCGATATTTTGATCTGGCAACACAATCGATATTTTAACATTGGTAACGATTGGTAGCAATATTTTAAGTCAGATCTTTATAAACGATTCACGATTAGACTTTTAGCACTTTTACAATTATTCATGAAATGGTGACGATCGCTATCGATTTTTCTTATGAATGGCTTTGAAGATCGATGCATAGAAAATTAAAGAAAATTAACGAAATGGTTGGTCGGGATGGCTCGGGCTGGTCTAAAAACTTGTTTAAATATTAGAAGTTTATAAAATATATAGCATCTAAAGTGGACCCTACACGATAATTGTATTGTCAATATATTCTATATTGATGTCAGTACATCGGTATTGACAATATTTCTGTGTTCACATCATCAATATTATTGTCAATAATTCCCCTTCGCGTCAATATATTGATAGGTGTGGGGTTTACTTAATACGACAAACACAACAAGCAACGGTTATGTGCTCAAGTTATTAACGAAAGAGAAAGTTGACGAAGAGAATCGATCAATGTTACTTAGGATCTAATGCAATGCTAGATTTATACAGATTTAAGGAAAAATCTACAGATTTAGAAGCTGAAAAATCAAAACGTTTGCTGGAGCTCAAAATTCCACACTCAAAAAATATTGAAATCTAAATAGTATAAAAGTTACGCTAAATCGCAACTCTCCGTACCGACGCAAAGGTCGGTATAAAGTGAGAGAATGCAAACTTAGTATAAAAATGGTTTATGCGTGCCATAGTACACGAAACGAAAATCAATTATTTAATTCATGTGTTTCACTTATACATTTTTGCCAAAGCATCAGCCTTATACATTCCATAAGACAAACCACATAGGTCCTATTAGAATGCATAAAAGGTATGTGTGACCGCTTATACATTTCATTTGACACAAGATCTTTATTAACTTTTTGCAAGGCGTCTGCTTATTAGTTGACTTATACATTTTCTGAATAATCAGCAATGGAAATTTGCCAAAAGGTATAAGGAGATTTCTATCCGTGTATAAAATCGAAATATACTTACAATGCATAGATACGGTTTATTCGAGAGAATGTATTTTTCGCTTCTTTATTTTATTTATGGCAAATATTATTGTTTTCAAATAAAAATAAAAATTGTCTAAGGAAGGTATTTTAATTATTTTCTTTTTTATCAATATTATTTACAAAATACTTACAATTTCGATGTTCATTAGGATGAACTCGTGCTCACGCAGCCTAGCTGCCCAGGCGCAGTAAAAATCCGCCGGGACGAAGCTCCGAAGAGAATCCAGATGTTCTTTTTTTCCTATAATTTTTGTAAACACTGATCGAATTCCACTCCGTTATCCGGACTTAGTATAATTTTGACAAAAATTTTAAACAAACCAATGTATAAATTTTGAAAACCCATAAAACGCATAAAATTTAATCTATATTCGTTTTGTAATACTTTTGAGTGCAGATGGAAAATGTGGCATCACTGATAGGTGCCAAAGCCAATGGCTAGATCAACTGTGGTACACGCTATGAAAAAAGTACCCAAAAGTATGTTCTTTCTTTTCACACTAGCTTTCTACTCAAAAGTAATTTACTTGTACCCAAAAGTAGATAAACATGATTATACTCAACATTGAGTTCCCACACATTACACAACTAGTCAAAAGTATGTAAAAGTGAACTAACCGTTGGGTACTTTTTTCTTACCGTGTAATATGTTCTTGTAACAATATTACAAGAACATATTACACGGTAAGAAAAAAGTAATATTATTACAAAGACCTTTTGCAAGACCGATTTTCATCACCAGCCTTACTAAATCAGTGCCAACATTTCAAAGGGGCGTAATTGCATTTGTAAACAATGGCTTTAGCCGTCGATTTCTCGCGAATAAAAGCTCACTCATGAAAAATAATGACACCAGCAGGTAGATGAATGTTTCCTCTACCAGCTAGCATTGTTATTTTGGAGAGGTAAGATTTCATTCGCGAGAAATTGACGGCTGAAGTCATTGTTTACAAAATCAATTACGCCCCTTTGAATTTGTAAAAGAAAAGGTTTGTCCTGAAAACGTTCTCAAAACTTTTGCTGAAAGCAATCGAAACATGAAACTAGTTATATGTACACACTGAGAAATTATTACCGAACTCAGTAATTTTTACCGAACTTTCAACAGCTGAACCACAGACAAACAGACATAACTCATTGAATATTTCTCACTGTAGAACATCGTCGCTAAAACATTACCGCCATCTGTTGAGTACACTGTGGTGGGTAGTACGCTGAACAGATGGCGGTAGTGTGTAAACGTCAAACGCAAGGGAATTTACTATGCGCGCCACAGGTGGCGGTACTACCAACTATGATACTTTTAAATTGACCGTTAAATGCTTGTTCGATCAACAACTTGCGAGTGTTATGTCTGTTTGTCTGTGGCTGAACGTTCGTTAATCAGTTCGGTAAACGAAATGCCTGCCGAACGTTCGGTAAACCAATTTTTCGATGAGCTTTCAAAATTACCGAACGATTCGGTACCTTTTTGCAGAGTGATTCGGTAATTTTTTACCGAATTGTTCTTTAAAACTGATGTTTTCATTATTTTTAAATTTAACTGCTTTTTTCAGTTAATTTTAATAAAAAGTCTTGAAATAATATTCATCAGTTTTTATTTAATTTAAAACTTGTCACTGCACTTGTGATACGTGCAAAAAAAATGTATTTGTGGCCAAAAAGTGTTAGAGCCCTTTCAGGTGGTTATATGCGATGCAGTCCAGATACATAACCTGCAATCAGAACACGGCAAAATACACGCTATCGCTGACAATGCCTGGAAAATAATTGGATTTGCTAAGTAAACAATCGCTCTTTATTCTAGGTGCACTTTTTACCATTCCAGTAAATAAAGCCTCTCCAGATTTGACAGTTTGACTGTGCAAAATTTCGGTAAAATTACTTGTGATTTACGCACGCTATACCACTCCTACGCGCCAAATCTCAAAAGTTACAATGATTTGAAGGTGTCCTGATTAATGTGGATACAGACCTTACAGACGAGCTCCGATCAAACCAGGAGGAGCGTCACTTCTGAGGATGTATTTTTATTCAAAAATAATCTTGGCAGCGCATGAGAGCGGGATAGATTACAATAGATAGAAGCATAAACAGTAGACTGATGCAAAATTTGAAATTTTCGCTCCACAGTGCTCAAACGGTTTCAAATCAGGTCCTGATTAGCCTATCAAAATTTTAACTCATTTGGTAAGAAACTGACTTGGCACAAACTATTCTAAATTTATATGGAAATTACTATGGGAAAACCAAACCTTTTTGTTCATTGTCTTCTACCAATTTTCCATATTGCTTTTCGAAAATTTCTATAACTATTTTCTAAGCTACAATTTTGCTGAATATAGTTTTTCAAAATGTCAAATTAAAATTTTATTAATTGATTAAGAGATTGAAAATCTTATAGCACGATCAAGCAGCTGTTCTGTGGGCAATACTGCATTTTGCAGTGTGACATAGTAGCCATGATATTTGTGCTCTATTCTTCGCACCAGAAACACCAATGTTGCCTGCTGAACAGTTGAATGAGCATAATCATAAGACATCAGTGACTTGAATCATTAACTTTTGACTTTTGTTCCTTACATTTGATTGAAAAGTGGTTTTCAACAAAATAGTAGCTGAGAAATCTATCAGTTTTAAAAGCATAGTGATGGGGTGAATTTTTAGATAAATGTGAACAAACACATAAGTTTTCGTATAGTAATCCCCATATAAACTTGAAATGGTTTGTGCCAAGTCAGTTTCTTACTAAAGTAGTTCAAATTTTTTGAGGCTAAGCAGGGCCCAACTTCAAACCGTTTAAGTACTGTGGAGTGAAAATTTCAAATTTTGCATCAGTCTAATAAACAGGGATGTTCAAGATATATTGCAAAAATATTACTAGGATTAAATGGGATAAAAATAAAATTCCCTGTGATTTTGTTTTTCATTGTTGGGAATATGAGTGCAAAATTTATGGATAAATCGGATGGGGATTAATTTAAAATATATGTGTAGAAAAATTAAATCAAACTAAACAAAACTTAATTCAAACATGGCAAGTGATTCAATTTTATTCGTCTTTAGTACGCTTATGTTTTAAAAAATAATCTTTAACAAAAGTTTCCCCAACAAGTATCGGAAACACCAGACTAGCTTCAGCATACACTTTGACCGGGGAAGCATCCTTCTTAATCTTTCCCCACGATACTGCTTCGTCCGGTCGTGCTCCACTGTCGCTTCCGTCGAACTCGGACGCCGTGTTTATGAAGACAGAAAAGTCAGCACCATTCCTCATTAAATTAGCGTTGCATATGTGGTGTTTAATTACGCCACCTCCTACTATAATCATACCCGAATGTACCGCTTTCACAGCCATCGTATTCAATCGTCGTAGGTCAGAAATAATATCTAGAACCAGACCAGGATTGCGGAACGAATGGAAGTACATCATGTCTCCGAGACTACCATCGGTTAGAGCGGGGCTAAAAACTGGGATCTTGTTCTTGGCAGCCCAGTAATAGACCGAACTTTCGTCGTTGATTTTCTCTCCAAGTCTTTGAATCACGTTGGACGGAGTCCACAGAACTCCCGTAGTTCGTTGCTCTTCCAACATTTCATCCAGAATCGGTATGACCCAATTTTCAAATTTACAGTAATTATCATTCGGTACCAGAAGATTTCCGATCCGGTTAATTCCCTGCTCTCGAAGTCGTTTCCCTTCGAGCTCGAACGAACCCAGATAGGTAGGTGCCAGACATTTGATCAGATCCTCCTCAACTCCACCGGCGGTTGTCACGATGCAGTCGACCATTTTATGTTGCACCAGGAAGCGAATTGTCTCACGAACACCGCAAGACACCATATTGGATGTGTAGCCAAGGAATATTGTACAGTTTGCTTTACGCTTGATAAATTCATCCTCTTCGTAGGTGTCATACTTGTCCTCGGGGAGGGGGATTGCACGGCACTCGATCTGCAATTAAAGGGTGGTTGTTAAAATGGTGGTTCAGGTGAACTGATTTTAAATTGGGTTATTGTGCAGAATCGGGTTGCATCACATGTAATTTGAGACAAACTCGACAAGACAGCAATAGTCCCATGTCCTGTGGAGCGGCAGAATACTACTTCTTCTCCTTATTCACATTTCAACCTTATTGCTTATCGCATATTCCCTTTTAGCGTGCTCTCAACTTAGTGTTCTATAGATGTACTAAATTGCCGATGGAAGCATAACTGTCCCATGTGACATATTGACCTTTTTGAGGTTATGATGCTTAACGTTATAAATCAATACATATTTTTAAATATTATATTATAACATGCTGTTTATTCTAGAAAAATTAAAAAAAAAATGTGAAGTCGTTTTGTCCCATTGCAAAAATGGACGCATATCTGTCCCACTGGTCCAATTTTTAAGATGTATAAGAAATTCTTCAAAAGTTATAGTCTGTTATCCAAATAATACATCGTAAACATATAAACATTTCCAAACGATTACCCAAATGGTAAAATTAATCTTTGAATTATTTGGATGATAGCTCGATAACGTCGTAAGCACATTAACATCTTTTTTTTTGAAAATTTAAGCTATCATTCTCAGTTCTGTTGCGAACAAATAAATTATATAATGTACTAATCAACTTGCAACGCCTTGTCCTATTTGTACCTTTTCGCGACACATATGATAATTTGGTATTGAAAAACTATAGAGTAAAATGATGAGATTTTTTTTTAAATAAAAGAAATGCATACAACGGTTAACCTTAAATAACTATCATTGCGATGCATGTTGCTTGGTCGGAAGACCAACTAAAAATGATGTTTCGTCGTCTCCAATAACAGGTACGACAACTGCCAACAGAGAGGCCTTCCTATCTACTTCAATTCAACGAGGATACCTTTACAGAGTATGTTAGCTTCAGTAGAGAACGTATCGTTGGCGATCAGCTGGAGTTGTTTCTTGGAAAACAGTTTGCAGTATTTAAGGTCCTCACTGTTGATGTTGCTTGCTTATCCTAGTTCATTACGTCCTTTTTGAGAAAAACAATTTTCTCATGATGCCCACGTACGGGTAAGGCTTGAATACGTTCAACGTGTACTATACGTGTAACGTTTACATGCAGACACTGGAAAAGATCGTGCGTATGCGCCAACAGGAGCAATTGTCTCGTTAAAGACTAATAGCTATCACTACCACTGGAACCATCGTACTGCTTTAAATTTTCTATGGCAGACGTTTCCGGCCCACATTAAAATCAGTGTCAACATTTCAAAGGGGCGTAATTGCTTTTGTAAACATTGGCTTTAGCCGTCGAAATCTCGCAAGTAAATGCTCACCCCTCCAAATTAGCAATGCTAGCTGGAGCTGGTAGATGAAACATTCCTGTGCCTGTGTCTCTGTGGTGTCATTAACTTTCATGAGTGAGCTTTTTTCCATGAGAAATCGACGGCTAAATCCATTGTAATTACGCCCCTTTGAAATGTTGGCACTGAAATCAACAATTTTAAAGAAAAAAAATCCAACCGTCACTCACGAAGTGTCAAACATAACAACAGCAGCAACTGAAAAGTTGTTCACAGTGGGACAGATATGCGTACATTTTTCAACTCGTCAGAGAAATTCGCAGCATAAGTGTCACAGAAGATTTTGTAATGGAAAAATTTCTTTTTATGCAAAATTTCGACAAACTTTCTATGGAATAGTTATATTACGTCAGTTTTACAAAGCACACCAAATTTTTCCGTGAAATTTAACGATAGCAGCAAAACGTCTGTTCAATCTTTAACTGCAGTTTTCTTATTTTTGTGTTTTGTAACGTGGGACAGTGATGCTTCCACCGGCAGTAAACACAGTTAATAATTTAAAGCTTTCGATGCCTTTACCAGTTTTCCATTAGTGTAATTGTGTGGCAAGTACAATCATACACGCTGAATTCAATTATGAAGTCAGATTTCACGAAACAGGTACAGTTTTTGAGAAAACGGGTATTGAAAATAACTCAAATTTTAATTTTAGGCAATAATTAATCAATTTAAGAGTGTATTTAGAGTAATGACAACAGTAACGATAAGATTTTAAATATTTGGTCAGCAGTTGCTATTGCGTTGTATTGAAAGACTTGTGCGTGCGGTGCGTGCCCCTCGGTTAAATCTGATTTTTATATTATAGGTACTAGCTGAGTGTGTCCGGCCTGGCGCGGGATTCAATTTCAATCTTAGCTTGCGTTTATGCGCGATTAAAAAAAGCATGCTATATTTTTCTGTTTCATTTGTCTGGGAGCCCCCCCCCCCCTTACAGAGAGGGGAGGGGTCTCGAACCATCATAAGAACCTTTCCCGGCCCCAAAAACTCCTGCTTACAAATTTTCACGCCGATCGGTTCAGTAGTTACCGATTCTATAAGGGTCAGACAGACAGACAGACAGACAGACATAGAAATTAATTTTTATATATAGGTATCATTTGTGCATTCAATATGGGAAACTTGTGAGCACAATATGATGACTGATGTTGGTAGGAGAATTTTCCATGAGTAGTTCATTGAAGTTTTCCTGTGCATTCTGGAATATAGGAAACTTGTGAACTTCTGGCTTGGACACAACTAAATATTAAATTTGATTACTATACTTCAGGATAGTTTTCCTTCTTTTAAACATGAGTAGTTCTTTATAGTTTACCTGTGCTTTTTTAAATATGGGTTCTATGTAGTTGTCCTGTATTCGTCATCTTTTAAATGCATAAAAGGTAGGTACGTTATTAAAATGCAATTCTGGATTTATCGCAAAATGGGCATTCCTTCAAATGGGATTCCGCGAAATTTCATACAATCATAAATAAGTACACCCATTGACTGCTACTTACCATCTTTTGAACCTCTTCGATCGCCTTGCCTAAATTTGTAGCCTGAAAACCGGAACGCAGATATGTTTGAAATAGTGCCTCGTAGTTCCTTCCTTGATTCCAGTCGTATCCTTGAACTGTCGGTGTCCCATCCGGTAGTTTGGAACTCTCCTGAAGCACAGCTTCCTTCGCTAACACCGGTTCAACAGGGTTTATCATATTTCTACTTGATATTTTCAAAAAAAATATTTGCTTTTGATAAAAAATGTAATCACCGGTAGGACACCCGCCTCGTTTGTATACAAACCACCGTATATAAAACCACAGTTGATCAGAAATGTCGTAAATCGATCGACTGGATCGAATGAGAACTATACGGTGCCGCTGTAAACATAAATCAACTGTCACAATCAGCTGTTTGTTTGCGGGGAAGCTTCTATCGGGCTTGGCTCGGCACCTGATGTACTGTCATCGTCCGTTGTCATATTATCGCCTCGACTGGTCGCGGGTGTGCGTGTAGTTCCGCAAAAATAAAATTGCCTAGATTTTCCGAGAAACTAGCGGAAAAAGTGTATTGCATGTGCGATTGGTGTTGATCGAGGGCTTCTTCTGTCTACTGCGGTACTGAACAGGTAAGCAAAACTACGATCAAGTTTTATTTTGTTTGATAAGTCGCCCACGCCGATAGGATTGTTTGTCTTCTGAGAAAGGTAAACAAACAATCTTGATGCTGCTGGAGTTTTTTTTTGTCGTATTATAAATAGGCTACATGAAAGTAAATAGTTTCATAACTGTTAAAAATGTGTATGTTTAAACGATTCTCAAGAGTTTGGTTATTATTACAAGTTATTGTCAACACTACATCTCACAGATGATGCTTTAATATTAGATAATAGGATAGCCTTGAACAAAAAATTGTGCAATTTTTTGCAAAGCTGAGGATTTACTATTTATTTATTATTACAAGAAAATATGAAGAGCGATATTTTTACCGATGGACCCAATCTCTAGAGCCAGCCACCAACATTAGAGTAATTTCCCCTATCTACCGCTTATAAAAAGCTAGCAAAACCTCTAACTTTAAGAAACTCGTTTTGATAGAGTCAATGAACGGTAGCTAGAATGAAGCTCCTGCTCATCTCTTTTGGCTTACGTTGCGTGTCCTTGAACTGGATGAAATAGAGTGAGATACTATCACGTTCATCTTTCCCAGAAACATGGAGATGAAACAGTTTATGATACGTAATTTTGATTGCTTCTGTTGTTATGATTAATTTGCTGTGTTGTCTCGTTTACCCCGAATAAACCGTACTCCCATAAAGTTGATATACCAGCTGATGTATATTGTCTTGTAAGAATCGAGAATATTCCCTTCATTGTAGATTAAAAATAGAAGAAAATTTTACCTTCTTATAGTATGTTCAGACTACAGAGTTATAACATGTTACAATAGGTGAATTATAAGTAGCGGGACTAAATGAAAACCAAAACGTAAACCAAACGTAAAAAAGTTTTTTTTTTCAAATTCAATTTTTATTGTGCGTTTGAGGTGTGAAATAATTAGACAGATAGTGGCCTTTCATCATCAATTTTCCTCAAGATTCCCGAAACCCTCGCCGTTATGGTCTGGACCACCTTGAGGTCCACTTTTTTTGCACATCTGATGATACGGGATTTGAATTGTTGAGCTGTGCTGGCTTCCCAGCCATTTTCGTACACCTATTAGGACAGTATGGCCCAATACGACTCGATTTTTCGCGCCTGGGGTACGTTTATTCCTTACGTACAAACGGTATGTTATGAACGGTCAACCAATCCAGAGTGACCTTTGCTTAAAGTATTTACGGCGCAGATTTTGGCACTTCCCCGGGATTTCCTGCACCTGCTTCTCCGTGTACTTCTGTTTGGATGCTCGCTTGTATCGTTTCACGCCCTCCGCCTTCAGGATTCTGACCACCGTGCTCTACGACATGTCGAACGTGACATGAATTTAGTCCCGCTACTTATGTTTCACCCGTTAGCGCTATCTGTATTGCAATTATTTAACAACCGTTATAACATGTTATACCACCGACGAACCGACGTGACAGTTCATACAGGCTACTTTCAAATTCGTGCCCAAGACGCTATCGCTACTCATCCGATCGATCCGATCACGTCATACTATGAGCAAGGACACGAACCCACGTATAATATATATATATTGCCTTGGTTTGCGTCTCACCTCGTTTGACAGATCTGATCGCCCGTATGAAAGTTCGAATCGCTTGTTTTACAATTCGAATTGTGGACAAACGAAACAGCGTTGACTTGCATCTTTCTGAATATTCAAAATTTTTTGAGCCTTTAAAATTACGAATCGATAAACAGTCGATGGCTCTTTCTGGTAATTCCGGGGGAATCGGGAAATACTTTTGAAACATTATTTAACTTCCTGAATTTTCTTCCACCTTACATCGTAAATTATTTTACGATTCCTCTCGGAAACTTATTTCGACATCCCTTGGAAGCTTCTTCAGCCTTCGCTCGAATGATTCTTCCATCTTTTCCCGCCAGTTTTTCAACTTTCCCGGAACTTCAGGCATGCTTCCAGATTTTGACTGCGGATCCACAATAGCTGCAAAAACTTCTAAGAAGTTCTGAAACTTCCGAAAAGTTCAGACTTTGGAGTCAAAGGAACTTCTGGAAAATTTAATGATTTTCAGGACAGTTTCCATTAGTTCCATGCAAATTTAAGAAACGTAATGGAAGTTACATGAACATTGTGAGAACATTTTATGGGAAGTTCCGTGCTTATTAATGGAAGTGTCTTAGAAAAATCGAGAATCAGAGAACTTTAATGCTGATGTTACATAAATTCAAGAAAATTGTGAGAGCGTCTAAGAAATTTCGTAATCTTCAAGAAATTCTAGAGACCTTCAAAGTTGATTAGAGATATTCCGGTAGTCTTATTATAATCAGGGAAGTTCTAAGTATTTCAAAGATGATCAGAGTACTTCAAAACAGCCCTATTAACTTAAGGAAAATTACAAGAACTTTTAAGGAATTCCGAGGAAATATGGAATATTCCTAAGTACATTTCAGGAATGTTCCAAAAACTTCAGGGGCATTCCGGGGTCTTAAGGGATATTTTATGACCATTTGGAAAATTTTCTGGATCATTAGAACATCCCCCAAGAGCTCTTTCTTCCGAAATTATGTCCTTGTTTCTTTCGACTGTCCGGTTAGCGCTCTGGCTTCCGACTTCCTCCAGATTTTTTTCCAATCTACCTTAGCAAGTTTCTGTCAGCGTGTCCAGGAAGTTCAATTAAACTTCTCCCAGAAATTTCTTTCGTCTAGTTCTGGAATTTTATCAAGTTGGTTTTTTTAACTTCTATTGGAAGGTTTTTCCGAGCTTCTTCTGGCTTACCCTGGAAATGGCTACTTCTGGAATTTACTTCTGATTTCCGAAACTTTTCTGCCTTCCTTTGAATGTGAAATCCGATTTTTTTCTGAAAGTTTCTTTAAATTTTCGCCAGAAGATTTTCAATTTATGTATTGGAAGTTCCGCGGATGTTTTTCCGACGTCTCTCAGAACTTTCCTCGAATTTCCTCCAGGAGAGTTTCTTTCTTCTTTCTCTGGATGTTGTTTTCAGCTTCCTCCAGAAGCTAATTCAAACATTCTCTGGAGTTTTCCTCCGGAATTTTCCGATCATAGTCCAAAAGTTAAACCTTTCGCATTCAGAAACGGCAAAAATATAAAATTAATTAAAATAGTAAATACCGATAAATACCGATTTTTTAAAACCTTTGATACCGATAAGCTTTAAAACATTCTGGCAACGCTGAAACGAAATGCTCCTGTGGTATGTCGATTCGTCGGTGTTATAACTGCTCAGTCTGCTCAGAAAACCAGGAAATAAACGGGAAGGTGTGTTAAATTTTAAATAGGGCTGCAAACTTGCTAAGTTAAGCAGAAATTACTTTTATGATCAGCAAAAAATCAACTTCCACTGGGTTTTGACACATCCCTGAGTTGAACTATAATCGGAGGGTTGGTATAAAGCAATTTTAATCTTTTAGTAGACGCTAGACGTTGTTGGTTGTGACAAAATGTAACCTCATACTCACCTAGTAGGTTAGTGTGTTTTTCTGAACAGATGATATACCTAATTGGATCGGCGCTGAATTTAGTTATGTCCAACAAACATCAAACCTGTGTCGTGTAAACTACGCAATATGAACTTAGGATAATTTTCTTGTTTGGATGGATGATTTTTTGGTTGCCTGGAGCTGCACGGTTATGATAGAATAATGATTCAAAGATACGTAGACAAGCAAGACAATCAAGGTGCCTAGAGTTGCATTATTGAGTACTCTAGATCTTTAAATGCTTAAAAGCCTGGCTACGTCTGCAATGCATTTTGATGATTTTCGGACTAAATTAAGTTTCTATAATTGACGAGTTTGAACTTCCTAGAGCTGCTCGAATAGAAGCCAAATTCATTCGCCAGAGGACTTATGTTAAACAATCGTTACAAATCGTGGAGGAAGGGAATGTAGAGAATAACTCACCTTACCAATCAGGCTAAGGCCTTGTTGTCCTCTGCTGTCCGAAGAAGTCGTATCCACTCTACTGGATCCATGGCCACACTTCGCCAGTTTCGTAGTCTGCAAAGGGTCCGCAGGTCCCTTTCTACTTGGTCGATCCACCTTGCAAGCTGCGCCCCTTTTCTTCTTGTTCCAGTTGGGTCGCTTTCGAGAACCATTTTTACTGGGTCGTCGTGCGGCATGCTTATGACGTGTCCAGCCCACCGTAGTCACCCAATTTGTGCAATGTGGACGATGGATGGTTCTCCCAGCAGCTGGTGCAATTCGTGGTTCATTCGTCTCCTCCACGTTCCGTCATCCATCTATACACTCCACCGCAGATGGTACGCAACACCTTCCGATCGAAAACACCAAGGGCGCGTTGGTCCTCTACGAGCATAGTTCAGGTCTCGTGGCCGTAGAGGACCACCGGTCTAATCAGCGTCTTGTAGTTAGTCAACTTCGTGCGGCGGCGAATTTTATTCGACCGGAGCGTCCTCCGGAGTCCAATCATTTTCGGCGGTCATCAGTGAGTTAAAATACACGATTTCGTCTAACATTGTCTTCCCTAGAGCCTCTTCCTTTCATGTATTTTTGTCTTTGATGCGTTGATGGCAAGTCCAATCCGCCTAGCTTCAGCCTTCAGTCTGATGTAAGTTTCCGCCATCGTCTCAAAGTTCCGTGCCATGATGTCAATGTCATCGGCGAAGCCAAGAAGCTGGATGGACTTCCTAAAGATCGTGCCAGTCGTGTCTATCCCAGCTCTTCTAATCACACCTTCTAACGCGATGTTGAATAGCAGACACGAAAGTCCATCACCTTGCCGAAACTCCCTTCGAGATTCAAAGGGACTCGAACCCCGATACTCGAACAACGCACATCACTCGATCCATCGGCACCTTGACCAATCGCGTCAGTTTATCCGGAAATCCGTACTCGTACATAAACTGCCATAGCTGATCTCGATCGATTGTGTCGTATGCGGATTCGGAATCGATGGACAAATGATGTGTGGGCACGTTGTATTCGCGGTATTTCTGCAGAACCTGCCGAATCGCGAAAA